TTCAAATAAAAAATAAAGTTAAAAAAAAAAAGTAGAGAGACAGATCTCCCATCTTTTGTTCACTCCCCAAATGCCTGCATCAGCCAGGGCTGGGCTGGGCTGAAATTGTGGGATGGGAACTCTGCCCAGGTCTCCTACCTGTGTAGCAGAGACCCAACTACTCGAGCATCGCCTGCTGCCACTCAGGGTGCACGTTAGCCGGAGTGAGGCTGAGACCTGAGTCCAGGCACTTTGCAATGAGATATGGACATCTCAAGTCCTTTCTTTACCCTTCTCCGATTGCCCACCCAAGATGCTTTGCTTTATTAGTCTGTGCAGGGATCCTGTAGCTCAAAGCCATGTATCTCACTGACACATGGGAACTTGAAGAAATTGACTAAATGTTGGGAAGCTGAGAGGTTCACAGGTGCTGAGAAATAGAAAATTTTTTAAAAAATAATTATTTATTTGAAAGGCAGAATGACACAGAACAAAAAATCCTCCATCTGCTGGCTTACTCCTCAAATAATCACATTAGACAGGGCAGGTTCATGCTGAACCCAGGATCCAGGAATTCATCCAGGCTCCCACGTGGGTTTTAGGGACCCAAGCATTTGGGCCGTCTGCTGCTGCCTTCCCAGGCTCATTCTGGACACTAGGTCAGAAGCAGAATAGCCAGGACTCAAACCCATGGTATGACTTGGGATGCTGGTATTGCAACTTGAAATTTCACTGGCTGAACTACAGTGCTGGCCCCAGAAAAGAATTTTTTGGCGCGTATAGGAATCATGTATTCTTGTTTCATAGCTATCATAAGGACAAAGTCATGCTTACTTCTGTGGAGCTAGGGAACTCTGAAGTTTGACCTACTGAATTTAGCGTTCTTCCTACTGACTGAGAGCTTTAGAAGTGCATTTGAGCTGCCAGCCCATGGGAATGAGCTGCTTGTAGGGAAGGCAGGACTCTTATTGAAAGTCCATATGGTTTTCAGCACACAAGCACATTTTCTCTGTGTCTGTCTTTATCCCAGACTTCTACTAACGTGCTTGTTGTATGTATGGAAGCCAACCTCCCCAACCACTGAAACTCGGGCTAAATGACCACAACACAGTAGCCCAGCTTGGTGCCAAGTAAAATTTGTAGAGAAAGTCATCGCCATAGGTGACTGTCTTTTGCTGTTCCCTTTCAGTTGCTCTGAGAGAGATCCTAGTGTAGGAGATGCTGAGTGGGATACAGTTGAACATGTGTCCCTTACTCACAGAGAACCTTAACTGTGAACTTAAGCTCTTGTGCTCCGAATTGTCAGCAAGGAAGTTAACAGCCCCTGCCCAAGGAGATGCTTGTTGATGACAACATGCAAAAGATCTGGTGTGTGGTCCACCACCCGAAATTTCAAATGGAGTCTGTGATAAAACTGTGTCCTCACAGTACCTCCTTCTGACCAAAAACCAGAGAACGTGAGAATGGGGCCTTCCGTGTCAGGACTAAAAGGGGGAGTACGAAGCCCGCAGTACAGAAGGATGTACCACATGTTGCTTCCTGCTTTAGGTGAGCTCTTTACTCGCTTCCCCTTCAGCTCCTGCAAGCAAGCTTCTGAAGCTATTTGCTGAGGGACTGAGTAACCTGTCCAGTTCTCCTTTGGTAGTGCAGTGTGGGCCAGCAGCAGAAGAGGTCTAATGAAAGCCTCTCAGGAAGGACTTAATGTGCCCACCCAGGTGTTGTGGTGCAGTGAGTTAAGACACCATGTGGGATGGCTGCAGCCCACATCAGAGTGGGTAAATCCTGGCTGCTCCACACTTCTGATCCAGCTTGCTGTCAGTGTACTTTGAGGGGAGATGGGAGAAGGGGGAAAGTGGAACATGGCCCAAGTATTTGTATTCTTGTAACCTGTGTAGAGACCTGGCTAGAGTCCCTGGTTTCCACTCGACCCATCCCTGGCCCTTTGCAGACATTTAGAAGTGAACCAGCAGGTGGAAGATCTTGTTGTCACTCTTTCAAATAAATATATCTTAATCAAATAGATAAATAAAAGCAACAATGTACATTACCAGTGCTCTTAGGCCTTAGCTCAGGTGAGGTCTTTGGACCTCATAAGACACCCTCAATTCAGATGCAGAGGTGGATAAGGACCTGCCAGAGATCTGAGCTGAGCTGCCTTGACCACCAGGACAGTCTCTGAGTACAGGCTGACAGTTTCTTGCAAGCAGTTCTCCTCCCAGATGCCCAGGCAGGTCTCTGAAGTAAGTGGCTGAGGGTTCTAAGCCCAGTTTCTCATCATGGTGTGGCATTTCTTAGCCATCCTTCTACCTTCAGTTCATTCAATAAGTCATTCAATAATTGCTGAGGACCCACCTGCTGTATATCAGTATCCTGCGCTGAGTTCTGGGGAAAGACCCTTGCCCTCATGAAAATTACAGTTTTAAAAGGGAGCTGATGATGAATACATGAGCAGATCAGTAAGACAACTACAGACTTTAGTTAAGTGCTGTCAAGGTCATAAACAATAATGGCATGGAAAGTCACAGGAAAAAAAAACATTCTACAAGGGAAGGTTTTTCTGCAGAGATGCTATTGGAGCTGAGATCTCAAGGGGTGGGAGCAGAGCTGCAGGAAAACAGTATGAGGCAGAAGGAGCACAGAGAGGCCGAGAGAAGCCTTGGCGTGTTCTGAAACAGAGAGTGGCAAGAAGGAAGAACGGGGGTAAGTTCAGAGAAGAGGAAGGAACCAGGCAATGCAAGGCAATAGAGGCCACTGTCCAAGTTTAGATTTAATCCCCAGAACAGTGGGAAGAAACCAGCACCATCAAACATAGATGAATAGCATACCTAAAGATTGTTGGGGATTCACAGCTGTGTGGATTGTAATAACTGATTAGAAACAAATTCCATCAATACAGAACTGGGTAAATAAGTAGAGGGTTTTTTTTTTAAAAAAAAAAAAAGATTTATTTACTTTTATTGCAAAGTCAGATTTATACAGAGAGAAGGAAAGACAGAAAGGAAGATCTTCCATCCAATGATTCACTCTCCAAGTGACCGCAACAATCCATGCTGAGCTGATCAGGAGCCAGGAGCCTCTTCTGGGTCTCCCACATGGGTGCAGGGTCCCAAGGCTTTGGGCCGTCCTCAACTGCTTTCCCATGACACAAGCAGGGAGCTGGATGGGAAGTGGGCCTGCTGAGATTAGAACTGGTGCCCATATGGGATCCCGGCATGTTCAAGGCGAGGACTTTACTAGGTCACCGTGCTGGGCCCAGTATAGGTTGTTTACACTGGTATGCAGCAGTTAAAAACTCAGGGACCTGTCAATAACTGCAGTTACTGAAAGATTTATCCCAAGTGGAAGGAAAAAAAAAAGATAAAGAGCACAAAAATATGCTAGAAATGTGTTTTTAGAAGAAGAGGTGTTGAATAGGGCTGTTAATGTATGAAATATCACATGTGAAAGAAAGCACAGAGATTGAGAACAGGTAAGCGATTGCCTCAGGGGAGGGGAACAGGCCAGGGTGACTAAAGTAGAAGAAAGGCTTACACTTCTTTAAAAAAAAAAAACAAAAACAAACCAAAACAAAAAAAAATGAACTCATTTGAAAGGCAGAGTTAGAGAGATAGAAGGGAAAGAGAGAAGGGAGAGCTGTTGGCTGGTTTACTCCCCAAATGGCCAGGATGGCCAGGTATAAGCCAGGAAAAGCCAGAAGACAGGAACTGGATCTGGACCTCCCACATGGGTGGCAGGGTCCAAGCACGTGGGCATCTCTGCTGCTTCCCCAGGCACATGAGCGGGCAGCCAAATTGGGAGCCGAGCTGCCATGACTGGAACCAAAATGCTGGAACTCTACATTGCTGGCCCAGGCTTACTCTTCATAGTGTAGTCATCTGTGTGTTTCAGTGTCTTAACAATGTGCTTGTATTACATGCTCAAACCTCAGTGTGTGTGCGTGTGCATGTGTGCGTGTGCATGTGTGTGTGTGTGTGTGTTTAGTTATTACATTTAAGTTGTGCTCATGTGGTTGCTGTGGAATGAATGAAGTGAAGAAGGCAAGAACAGAGGCCGAGATTCAGCTAGATGGCTGTGGCAGTAGCTGTTGTGAGAGAGTGGTGGCCTGACTTATGGAGTTGGTAATAGGGGTAAGACAAGTAGAGGCATTTGAAATACACTTTATTGGCAGAGCCAGCTGGACTTGGTGTCATTCCCCCTATAGTCTACACATTGGAATTCTCTACTCCCACTACTTGTAGAAACTTTTCTACTTCCACAGGGATAGGGAACGTTTCTTCTACCAGTGTCCATTTGGATATTAGCAACATCATTTACAGGCCATAGAAAATGATCAACTTAAAAAAAATCAGCCTGCTAGGGCCCGGTGCAGTGGCCTAGCAGCTAAAGTCCTTGCCTTGAATGCACCGGAATCCCACATGGGCACCGGTTCTAATCCCGTGGCCCTGCTTCCCATCCAGCTCCCTGCTTGTGGCCTGGGAAAGCAGTTGAGGACAGCCCAAAGCCTTGGGACCCTGCACCTGCATGGGAGACCTGGAAGAGGCTCCTGGCTTCTGATTGGTGCAACTCTAGCTATTGCACTCACTTGGGGAGTGAATCATCGGATGGAAGATCTTCCTCTCTGTCTCTCCTCCTCTCTGTATATCTGACTTTGCAGTAAAAATAAATAAATCTTTTTTTAAAAAATTAGCCTGCTTTTATGGACTTACTGGATTTCAGGTCCCAATTGCAGTTGCTTTGGCAAGACCAGACAGAGTGGCTTTCTAGCCTGAAGACCAGATAGGCCACATTCCTGATTGGAACTGGGCCTCCTTAATGCCTGTGTGGTGGGAGGGCACGTGGATTCTTTCAGGTGCCTGACATCTCAGACTGGCAGAGAATATGTAACACATCACACCTCAGAGTACATCGGTGCCAACATGAGCCCTCTTGTGGCAATGAGAAAGAGTTGTTAGTGACTCCACAAAACAGGACTCCACTGCAGAAACTCACTCATTTCTCCCCGGGGCTTGCTTTTGTTACAGAGAGATGCCAAAGGCCAGTACCTGTTTGACCTTCTTTGCCACCACCTGAACCTGCTTGAGAAAGACTATTTTGGAATCCGCTTTGTGGACCCAGATAAGCAGCGGGTAAGTCAGTTTTCAGAGCACCAGGGTGACAGGGTTACTCAAAAAGCTTGAGACCTTAAACTATCGCTCATTTTTAAGAGTTCCTCCTTGCTAGACCCAAGAGTTGAATGTCATCCCTTCAAATCTTAATGTTCGCCTGGAGGGCACTGTTGCTAGAACTCCCCCAGAGAAGCCAATCATTTTATGGATGCCAAAATGAGAGCCTACACAGCTTGAGTGACTTGCCTGAAGTTGTCCAGTTGAAGGCAGAGTGCTCAGACTGGTGGTGTGGGATCACAGCCCATGTCACACTGGGAGCCTCTCCTTGCCCGCTGTCTAGTTAAAGGGAGCTGAACCACGTTGTTCTGGTTAGGAAGGGCTCCGCCCCAGGTGCCATACCAACCAGATCAAGGAAAGGCAGAGGTGGAGCCCAGCTGACCTGGGCCTCTCAGCACCTTGGCCATCCCACAGTTCTTGCAGCTTTGCAGACCTGGCATTGACAAGAACTGGGATTGCAGACACTACACAGGAATGGACTTATGATCCCACACTCCCTACATTCGTTTCCAGCTCCATCTCTCCTGACCCGTCTCTGCTCTGCTGTGGTCCAGGCAGCACCATGGCCCACTGCCTTGTCTCAAGGCCTTCACCTATACATGTCAGCTGCCTGAACATTCCCCCCCCTTTTCCTCCGTTCTCCATGTTCTGCACGTTTCTTCTGGCTAACTCTTTTTTACACTTGAAATCTTGGGCTGACTTCTCATTCTTCCCGAAATCTCCTACTCCCCCCTCCTGTGGGCCCACATGTGCCGTCTGCTGTCTCAAAGCACTTTCTTTTTTTTTTTTTTAAAGTTTTACTTTTTTTATTTGCAAAGGTAAGCTCTCTCTAAAAGATTTCTTCCTGTATCTCATTGATCAAAAATATATTACATGGCTGTTTCTAAATGCAAGAGTTTGAGAAGGTGTCAAAGCACTTTCTATAGTAAGCTGTGGTTAGGGACAAGACCAGCCCTTGCTTTAAAATGGCTCTTCTCCTTTGACTTATGCTCCTGATTCTGGGTCTTAGACCACAAAAAGAACCATGAAAACAGGAAGCTACATGTCTGCCCATGCTGCACATTCAATATCTGACGAAGGACAGTGTTTACAAATGGTGTTTGTTTAGTCTGAGCTTTCTCTCCTTAGATCATTTGCATCAACTTCCTGATGTCACATAAAGGTGGTGGTATATGGAGAAAAATGCAAAATATTATTCTTTAGTTAGGACGTGGATGTTAGTATATGCACGAGGAGAGTATTTTAAGTGATAAAGATCACATGGAGGGCCCAGTGCAGTAGCCTAGCAGCTAAGGTCCTTACCTTTCATGTGCCGGGATCCCAAATGGACACCGGTTCTAATCGCAATGGCCCCACTTCCCATCCAACTTCCTGCTTGTGGCCTGGGAAAGCAGTTGAGCATGGCCCAAAACTTTGGGACCTTGCCCTCCCGTGAGAGACCCAGAAGAAGCTCCTGGCTCCTGGCTTTGGATCAGCGCAGCACAGGCTGTTGTAGCCGCTTGGGGAGTAAATCAGCAGATGGAAGATCTTCCTCTCTGTCTCTCCTCCTGTATGTATCTGGCTTTCCTATAATAAACAAATGAATAAACAAACAAATAAATAAATAAATCTTCCCAAAAAAAGATCACTTGGAGAAGAAGCTAAAAAGAGACAAGTGATGGGAAAGAGATGTAGCCGCCATCATGGTACAGTGGACTAGCTGCCACTTGGAGTGCTCCCAACCCACACGGAGTGCTGGGTCGAGTCCCAGCTGCTCTGCTTCCAACCCAGCTTCCCGTTAATGCATCCTTGCAGGTAACAGTAGAAGACTAAAACGCTTGAGCCCCTGCCACCCACGAGGGAGACCTAGAGAGAGGCCCAGGCTCCTGGCCTCCACCTGGCCCAGCCCTGGCTGTCACAGCCTTCTGACTAATGAAGCAGCATGTAGTAGTCTTTTTGTCTTTTTCAAAGAAAAATGAAAACAAATGATAAAAAGTTTGTGAAGAAATGGAATCTTTTAATTTTTTTTCTTTATTTGGGGGTATAAATTTTGAAACCCATGGGTACTTTTTCATAATATGTATTATTTATGAACTTTTTTGAGGAACTCCTCATAAAACATGTATTTTATATTTTTTGCAATGTGATGAACTCACCTTTTAAATCCACTTTTATGTAATTATGGAAAAATCGTCCTTTATTACTAGTACTTAGTGCTCTGAATTGTACTAGCATTGTGTGTTATTTCACTTAATCCTTAAAACAAACAAGATGAATATATAACATAACATATTGTTATAAACCCATTGTCCAGAAGAGTACCTTAAAGCCTCTGCAGGTGAAGTGAAGATTGCCCGTTGTAGCTGACAGTCCAGTCCAAGCTCAGAGTCTTGCTTGATTCCACTCTGCTCATGGTCTCTCAGACTTCATGTTGCATCCATGAAAGATGTGACTCTGGGCATCAAGGGAGGGGTCCGAGAGAGTAAATTGGCAGGAGTTGTGGAGAAATAGAGCTGTAAAGAATTATTCTGGAGCGAGCATTTGTGTTAGCAGTTCCAGTGCCTCTTAGAATGCCCATATCCCATGTCACAGTGCCAGGGTTCAAGTCCCGGCTCTGCTTCTGACTCAGCTCCCTGCTAATGTGTATTCCCGGAACCAACAGCAAGCAATGGCTGAAATGCTTGGGTTGTCGGCCACCTGCAGAGTTAAATCCTGGGCCGGGACTGAGATCCAGACTTCTGGCTTCTGTGCAGCATTTGGGGACTGAACCAGTGCGTGAGAAGTCTGTTTCTTTCCTCTGCATTTTTAAAAAGATTTTTCAAACAATTATTTTTCCTAGATCCACTGATTTAGGGGGAAGATGGAAGAGATGAGTTGCATGGTTCTTTCAAGGTGTAAGACCCAAAATAAACCTCCTCCCTGGGTTCTGAGGCAGTCACATCCAACCCACGTCACGACTGGCTCCTCGGGAGACTCCAGGGGTCTGGAAACTTTGCCAGTCTCTCCCTCCCCTCCCCGGTGTTCTTGCTCTTATCCAACACCTCTGCTGCTTTCATCCTCTGCTTTGGACCCATTCAAGCCCTCAAAATCTGAAAACTGTTACACTGGCCCATTTACCCAAATATCAAACAGATCCTTCTCTCCTTTTCCATCCCACATTAGCAATTTGCTGCTGCTTCGGGGACCTAGGTTTAGCCAGGCATCTTCAAAAGATCACTTTTGAAGTGTTCTTTGGTTCTTCAGATCATCTCAGTATTTTTCTGCTCAGCCCTTAAAATCCTTTGGACTGGCTGATGTAGCTTTCCATTCCTTTCCTAATCTCTAGCTGTAATCTTCTCTTGAGCTCTGACTACAGTTAAAAACTAATGTGTTCTCTCCAGCTATTGCCAAAGGGATAGCCTCTTGTCATTCAACTCCACCCACCTTCTGCTAACGCAGTCATCCCTCTGAAATTTTACTTTCCTTTGTTTAGTTCTTTTCATCTCTCCATCTAGCATCTATAAAGGAAATCTGTTTGCTGAGTCCCTTGCTGCTTGCCTTGTTCTGCTCACCTGCTCTCACAGGCACAACCTGGAACCCCAGTTGTTTCTGTGCAATTTCATCTCTAGCCTTTGCCTCCCCGTGAAGCCGAGCCGCGGTGGGCTGTGTAATGTGAGAAGGACCTCTTAACCACATTGAGTGGCTATAATGAGTTGCCAGCCTCGTGGGAACTCGGATCAGAGGAAGCAAGAGAGCAGAATGTCAGCCCGGATTATCCATGTGGAGCTGACGGAAGAACTGGCTCTTAGTGGGTCCATTAACTGCATGACCCACAGCCCAGCCCAGAAGGTGAGAGCTGGGAGCCGAGGGAGGCCAGGATGCTGTCTGCATGGCCCTGGCTGCTTTCCTGCCAGAGGGAGTTTCTGCCAAGACATTATACTGGCTAGTTGCAGCCAGGAAAGAGACAAGTGTGGACCTGGCCCCTTGGCCGTTCAACAGCTACATGTGGAGCCCTGTGCCAGGACGTTAGTGATACGTTGCTGAAGACGACGATTTCTTGTCCTCACTGAGCTTGTACCTAGTGGAACTCAGCTACTTCCAGATAAACGCCAAATAATAGCAGATTTAGCTCTCTACAAATTGGCTGCTGAGTAACATAAAAGCAACAAATGTCAATAATGAATTTTTTCAAGTACTCAATGTAGAGTTGAGAAACAGATACAGAATGAGCTCATTTTGCCTCCCCCCAAACATAAGTACCATGTAAAAAAAAATCTAAAATGCTGGATCTACTTTTGAAAATCAAGGGAGACAGCATGCCATCGTGTGCATTGCTTACAGCTCAGCATCTTACAAGATTCCAGGACTTTAAATGTGCCTGGATGCCAAAGAATCCTAAATACGAGTTTACACAAAGGCTGGCAAAACCTACGTTGTTCAAAGATGTTTGAGAAGCCACCCCTGCCTTCACCATATCTGTGAAAGTTCCGCATGTCAGTATTTTCTAGAACTGCCACTAAAAGCCTCTGGCTACACTCTTCTGCCCCCTCCCCCCAAAATGTTGGCACATGGTATAAACACACAGTGCTCATCAAAGTCACTGTTCTTCCTACATTCTAGCCAAGTGGCACTTTGTCCCTGCCACGCATCCACACAGTCATTCATGCCTGCTGGCACCCCCAGAAACATGGCACAGGATGTTGGCACCTGCTGCAGAAGGCAGCATTTCCAGAGAGGCCCAGAAATGGCATCTGAGGCTGGAACCACCCTCCCTTCACAGCTGGCTCCGTGGGGAGCTTATTTCATATCACTCTTTACTCTCCAAATCTGTTTCACAAGCTTTGGGGCTGCTTTCACTCTAGGCTACAGTCTGGTAATTTAAATAGGATGCAAGTTGTGTTTGACACTGCTTCTCATTAGGGTTTTGCTGTTCTGTGTTCTGTTTCAGCATTGGTTGGAGTTTACCAAGTCTGTGGTGAAGCAGCTGAGATGTAAGTGTTCTGCATGCAAACAGCGAAGCCTCGCCCCTGGGGTGGGTGCAAGTGGGATCAAAGCTCCCCCTTGTCTGTATGGTGACTTCCCACCACTCTGGGTAGAAGTCAGCCCTAAACATGTGAAGGGATTCTTCTGATGGCTCAGAGACCCATGCTTGCTGGTGGGGAGGGGAGCCCACTCACCCCTGGGGACAGGATCTCCCCTGATGGACCCCTCTTTATCTCTGCAGCCCAGCCTCCATTCACCATGTGCTTCCGAGTGAAGTTTTACCCAGCAGACCCTGCTGCCCTGAAAGAAGAAATAACCAGGTGAGGCTGAGCTCACTGCCGCTAGCCACTGAGAGCTGACAGACAGGATAGAACAGGGCCACACTGACCTCTATATCCTCTGAGAAGCTCTGAACTCCCACAGGCAAGGAGCTCTCCCTACATGTCACCCCTTCTGCATTCCGTGTGCACCCTCCTTTTGCCTCTGCTACCGCTCAGAGGAACTGCAGTAGACTGAGCTGCTTTCCTTCAGGATGTGTGAACACTTCATCTCCAACTGGTCACCCTCCGGGAGAGCTGGAGCCACAAAGTAATCAAAGGCATTTTTTTTTCCATCTTTCGTACGATGTGGTCGCCGTGGACATTTTGGGGAGAGGGCTCTGTTACAACTTTCTCTGGAAGCTGAAAATAGATTTTGGTGGCACGATGACAGCACTGAGGCATAACACTGAAAGACGAGCCAGGAAGTGCTGAGAACTTAAAATCCAAATGGGTAAACTCTAGTGGGCTGTTGGAGCAGGTCCGTGCTGAACTCTTTATTGTGGGGATTATGTTCTGAAGAAGGCGGACAGCTGTGTGAGCCAAATCCTGTCTCATCCAGCGCCACTTGAGGATGGCAGAGAAACCTTTATACCCGCAGTCATCCTACAAGAGGGCCCCTGAATATTAGCTTCAAAGCTTCTCCACAGGTGTGTGCATCTGAGTCAAACTCTCCTGGAAAGTCACAGCTCGGAGACTCAGGGACCCCTACCTTTCCTGTTAGAAACGCTTCGCTTAGAAGCCAAACCTTGATGTTACACACTTGTGGCAGATATAATGATCCATAAAGGGGTCATGCCCAGGAATCCCCAAGCTGGGATAGAGATGGCACTGCCAGCTCTCATCCGCTTGCTACGACCTTAGGGATGGTGTGGACGGGGATGAGATTAGTGCAAGTCTTCTAGGTTCTGAGTTTCACGGGAAAATTCTAAAGAGCTGGGCCATGGGATTACCTTCGTTTCCTGTTCCGAGTAACGTGTTGCTGGCTCCTGTCAGGTGAAAAGGGCAGCATAGAAGCTGCAGAAGCTTCTCTAAGAAGGAGACTCAGGTATTAGGGAAAGAAGAGAAAGAGGAGAGTGAGACAGGAAAGGAAGGTGACTTTTCCCCCATGAGCCCCAGGGGAGATTAGTGGAAATCCTTTTCTGAGGGTGTCAGAAGGATCTAGAAGGTTGTTTCCTGCAGGGGAACAGGGCAGTGGGCAGTGGGCACCTGCTGCTCTGCAGCACTGACAGCAGGAAGATGTATAACTACAACCTCATGCTCCTTTATTTATTTACTTATTTTAAAATTTATTTGAAAATCAAGGCTATGGGGGGGGGGAGAGAACAAAGAACAAGAACAAGCTTCCATCCACTAGTTCACTCTGCAGATGATTAGGGCAGGACCAGGCCAAAGTCAAGAGCCTAGAACTCCATACAGAACCCCGACTGGGACCCCAGCACATGGGCCACCTTCTGCTGCCTGCCTCAGCACATTAGTAGGGAGCTGAATTGAAAATTGAGCAGCTGGGATTGTAACCAGCAGTGCTGCAATATCAGCCCTCCATGCTCCTTACCTGGCACAGAAACTGCAGGCTGTGCTCATCCACATGGCAAAAGGATGCCACTCCTAGCTTGTTTCTGAAAACTGAACCCACCCATGTTAACAAGCGAGCCTGTGACTTTCAGTGTGTGAAAGGGGGTAGAACCACCATATTTAACAACTTGAACAAAAGTGCTAGTCTGTACTGCTCGTGACCTCCAGAGTGTCTGCCTGGCTCTGGGCTCCTCTGTGTTGACAGACACATGAGTGAGTTTGCACCGGTGTCCACATAGAGGAACAAACTCGTCATATCCTGTTTTGAGATCCTGGCAACTTACCTCTTAACACCATCCGTCTCTAATTCATCAGACCAACAGTGGCAGTGAAAAGGATCATCAGACACAACTTAGTTAAGCTGCCACTGAGCTCACCACAGACACACGGCTTTCTAATTCAAATGGAGGATAAACATACACGGTTATGGTAGCCCTTAAAATGAACTTTTTAAAAATATTTCTTTGTTTTTGTTGGAAAGACAGAGTTACAGAGAAAGATCTTCCATCTGTTGATTCACTCCCCAAAATACCTCAATGGTCAGAGCTGAGTTAATCTGAAGCCAGGATCCGAGCACTGCTTCTGGATCTCCCATGTGGATGCAGGGGCCCAAGGACTTGGGCCATCTTCTGCTGATTTCCCAGGCCATAAACAGAGAGCTAGATCAGAAGTGGAATAATGGGATGCAAACAGGTATCCATATGGGATGCCTACATCACAGACAGAGGCTCTGCTCTTTCTTCCCCTATATGGCTACCATGGCCAAACAAGGAGCCAAGAGCTTCCTCCAGGTTTTCCATGTGTATGCAGCATCCAAAATTCTTGTACCATACTCCAGGGCTTTTCTGGCACAAAAGCAGGAAACTGCATCAGAAGTAAGGCAGGAGACAGCATGGTGACATGGCAGGCTAATCCTCCATTTGTAGCACTAGCATCCTGTATGAACACCAGTTGTAGTCTTAGCTGTTCCACTTCCAGTGCAGCAACCTGCTAGGCCTGGGAAGGCAGTAGAAGATGGTTCAAGTCCTTGGAATCGTTGATCACACTGGGACCCAGAGGAAGCTCCTGGCTTCAAATCGACTCAACTGTGGCTGTTGCAGCCGTATGGGGAGCAAACCAGTAGATGAACAATCTCTGTCTATGTCTCCTCTTCTCTTGATAAAACATGCCTTTCAAATAAAAATAAAATTTAAAATATATGTTTTTAATCCTTTAAAAGGTGAAGCTTTTAGGATGTGAACTGGTGCCCATATGGGATTCCGGCACTGCAGGCAGGAGTTTAACTGCTAAGGCACAGCACCAGCACCAGTTTTCTATATTTCTGATTGTCCCTCTGTTTTATTGATGTACACATCCTCTTACCCAAGAAGCAGCATAGACCAGGGAACCTAGATCCTACTATATCACTCTTGACTGGATGGCCTTGTATGTATATTTAACCTCTCTGGCCTTTGGATTCTTCAGTTTATGAAATGGGGATAGCAGTATCCACTTCCTTGAATTACTGGGAGGATTAGCCACTACCATAAGGGCATGCCCTATTTGATGCATCCTCAATGAGCCTTGTACTGAGAAAAGGCCCTGCGTGTTTGCTGCCAGGTTGATTTCATGGTCCATGTTCATGTAACATTAAGACTCAGGCCAGATTCCTCACCACGTCAGCAGACTTCAAGGACATTGGAAAATGTGTGAGCTCCTCTCTCAATGTGTTCATGTTTGTGCTAACCATCTTGGCCAGTTTTTTCCTCATTTTCCTCCTCATCACCCTTCTTTCCCTATTTTCAGTCATCAGGAGTAGGAACCCCAGAATAGCCAGACCTGATAGATAGCTTTGATTTCTCCCTGAGTCTGGAGCATTCTACAAGACCATGGGATTAGCCACATCTTTCTGCCCATTCATATCCCTACTGATCTAAAGAGAGTGGCTATCTGCCCTGGCTTCACTCAACACCTGTAATTCATTCCTGGCTTAGAGCGCTTCATCCCACCTACCTTGTTGCCAAATTAATTTGGGGTGTGGGTGTGTGTGGGTGTGTGTGTGTGTGGGTGTGTGTGGGTGTGTGTGTGTGTGTGTGTGGGTGTGTGTGTGTGTGTGTGTGTGTGTGTGTGTGTGTGTGTGTGTGTGTGTGTGTGATTTCTTCCTGGCAATATTGGTCCTAAATTTCACTGCTGTCTCAGCCACTCCCATAAAGCCAAGCTGAGGGAAGAGGATGAAGACGGAAATAAAGGACTGGGCTTCGATTTATCTCTTGGATGTTTCCCAGATGATAAATTTAGTTTCCAAATCCTGATTAATTTCTCTTGTCATTTTTTTTCCCAAAGTAATAAATAGATTTTCTTGCCTAGGCCAGAGATGAGGCAGAGAAGATGGGGGATTAGTCACTCAACAGATTTAGCTCTCATGAGACTGCAAGTGTATGAACTCTTTGGAAAGATCAAGAAATGGAAGGAAACCGAGTCCAGATGGAGCTGCATCTTCTGAGGGAGCAGAATGTCTGGTGCACAGCAGTTGCTTGAAAAAAAAAAGACTAGAATGAATGAATATAGATAGATAGATATAGATATGAATAGGGCCATTCTCTATTATTCTTTCAATGAGTATCATTCAAGCATAGCTTAGAGTAAAATGATTTAGTAAAGTTTGCATAAAGAGGCAGGTAGAAAGAATGTTGGGCAATTGAGACCATATGGTCTCTATCACAACTACTGAGTTCTATCATGGCAGTGGGAAAGCAGCCATAGGTGATACATCACTGAGTTCCAATAGAATCTTATTTCATTGGAAGCTAGGGCAGTGGGCTGTAGTTGGCTGAGCCCTGAGCTAAGAAACCCAAAACAACCGGGGTTTCAATCCCATGTCATCCTTTAACTAGCTGTGGCAGAAGGCAAGCATCATCAATATCTCAACACTCAACTTCCTCATCCATTGAAGAGGAATTGGAAACGCTGTCCCTTGCAGAGTTGTGGAACACACTACAAGTTCTCAGGGGATGTGAGTCAACATGATAGTTTGTTTGCTGTGATTTTGTTGTCTGTTCCCACATTGGAATGTAAACTTTATGAAACAGGACCTCTGTTTTGCTCCCTGCTAGGTTAACAGTCCCTAGCCCATAGAATAAGTATCAGACATGGATGCATAAGCACACACTGTATGTACCCAGAGGAATATTTTTTGAAGGATTTATTTATTTCAGTTGAAAGAATTACAGAGAGAGGTGTTCTAGCTGCTTGCTCACTGCCCAAATTGCTGCAAAGACAGGAGTTTGGCCAGTCCAAAGCCTGGAGTCAAGAGCTTCTTCTGGTTCTCCCATGTGGGTACAGGGGCCTAAGAATGTGGACCATCCTCAACTGCTTTTTCAGCCTGCAAGCAGGGAGTTAGTTTGAAAGAAGTGGAGCAATTGGGACACAAACCACTGCCTCTATAGGATGCCAGCACCACAGGCAAAGGCTTAATTTGCTATGACACTGCACTGGCCCCAAAAGAATATTTTTAAGTGAGTTTCAAGAAATATCATTTCTGTTTTTAAAATCTATGTGTTTGTCTAATTGAAAGGCACAGAGAGATCTTCTGTCTGCTGGTTTACTCTAGGAACAGTCACCAATAGTTAGGGCTGGGCCAGACCAAAAACCAGGGGCCATGAACCAGGACTCATCTGGGTCTCCCATGGGGGTGGCAGGGACTCAAGGACTTGAACCCTCCTCTGCTGCTCTCAGACACACAGCAGAAAGCTGGACCAGAAGTGGAGGTGGGACTTGATCACAGAATTTCTGATACTGAATACGAGTATCCCAAGCTGTAGCTGAACCCACCACACCCCCACTCAGTGTGGTTCTTCTGCCTAAACATTAGAAGAAATGTTTGTTAAGGATTAACTTTATTTTTACTTAAAAGGCAGAGTTACAGAGAGAGAGAGAGAGAGAGAGAGATGGATTGATCAATCTTTCATTCACTGATTCACTCCCTAAATAGCCGCAATGGCTAGAGCTGAACCATTCGTAGGCCAGGAGCCAGGAGCTTCTTTCAGGTCTCCCACATGGAGGCAGGTGCTCCAAGAATTTGGGCCATTTTCCACTGCTTTCCTAGGCCATAATCAGAACTGGATTGAAAGTGGAGCCACTGGGATTCAAAGCAGCACCCATAGGGAATGCCAACACCAAAAGCTAAAGCTTTAGCCTGCTATGCCATGGCACTGACCCCAGAAGAATGTTAAAAGTAGATAGAACATGTCCTCTGACTCCTACAAGTTCACGATCTAGTATGGGGGAGGAACACAAACTAAGCAGATTTAGTGTTGGGAGAAAGTGTTATAAGAAATAGAGAAAGTCACTGAGAGTCTGTTGAATGAAGTGAGGCTAGATGCTCCTGTGGGGAAAACTCTGCAGGAGACACCAGCGCTTCCCAGAGTTCACAATCGCTAACCCGGGAATTATTTCTGGATTCATTCCCTCCCCTCTGATATCAGAAAACACTACACCAAATCTAGGGCCTTGGAGAAATGTCCATATTGCAGTAAAGCTCAGCTTCTCCTTGGATTTTTTTCAGGCCATTACTTTCTGATCCTGATTCTAGGACAAAACTAGAATCAAAATAAAAATAGCAGATTTTGTGGCACAGTGCATTAAGGCATAACTTGGGACACAGGTTCTCATGGAGTTGTTGGTTCAACTCCTGGCTACTCTGCTTCTGATCCAATTTCCTGCTGAGGTGTATTCTCTTTCTCTCTCTCTCTCTCTCACTCACTCACTCACTGTAATTCAAGTAAGCAAATTAACTAAAAAAAAAAAAAAAGAGGGGATGTACAGTAACTGTAATGGAGACTATCATATCCAGTAATATGTTATTCAGCTTCATGGTGTTGTAAATTTCTATTTTTCATCCTGTTTAAAAAAAAAAGTGAGGCAAAGTCTTTTGAAGACCAGAATGAAATAAGCAAAGTTGAAAGAAAAGAAAAAAGGTGTTTTTTTTTTTTAATCAAGCTTATTATGTTAAATCTGGTCTCAAGCTGATTTCTTCTTTGGTTTCAGCTTATTTTAGGACCCTTTTCTTTCTAGCCTCGTCACTAATAATGGGGATAGAAAAAGCTCTGGGCCCAGGCCTAGGAGTCCTGGATTCCAGCTGAGCTTCACTCAGACAAGTCACCCCATGTTCCTGGACCCCTGTTTCCTCTGTCATGGAGTGAGGGAATTAGGCTCCATAACTTCAGTTCTAAGGTTCTAAGTTGGATAACCCACCCAGCCTGCCCATGGGGACAGCCCCAAAGGCTGATCCCTTGCTGGCAATGCTCAGTGACTGAGGTGGCAGAGCCTTGGGCCACCAGGTAGTCTTCCCAAGGCAGGCAGAGCGTGTCAGGCTCCCTCAGGAATAGTTCTGTGGACTCTGTGAGTCATGCAGAATAGATTTGCATGCCCAGCAACTCTGAGTCATTGCTTAGCTCTTCCAGTGAGCACAACACAGGGCTTGATAAAATCCACTGTGGCAGGAAAGGGATGGGGAAGCCTAATGTTGCTGTTTCCCTGCCAATCTGTTGGTGGAGTCCTCAATGAGCTCAATTCTTTTTGTCCCCTAAAGTCTGCTCAGCTTCTTTAGGATGCTAACTTGCCCCCACCCTTTCCCATTGCTTAAGAATGCCCCCAACCTTACCCTTGACCTCTCCTGTCACCAGAATGCAGAAGGACTCTTACCTCGCCTACTCCGTTGTTCCATCCCAGCTCACCTGAAGAGCTGTCATGTGCCTGTGCATAAGGATGCTCTGTGACACACTGGTTCTCAGTGCAGAACAAATCTTGATTTCTCCAGGGAACTTTTTCAATGCCCCAGGCCCACAGATGGTGACACCTGCAGGAGAGTGTTCCAGCCTGTACACTGGAAATCACTGCCCAGAGCCATGTTATCCTGTAGCCCACTATGTAATGTCCCCAAGTCTGGGACTTGGACAAGCAGAGGCATGGATCCAGACACAGGCAGCAATCCATGAGGAAAGGGCCAAGCCTGTGGAAGGTGGAAGTTGGAACAGTGAGAGGCAGAGAAAACGCTCGCTGCCGGCTCCCACACGCCCTGTGGCATTTTGCTGTGGGAAGCAGAGTGAAGACAAGCTGGATCGGGTAGATTCATCTTAATTGCTCACCCTGTTAGGATGTCTTTCCTCCTTCACTTTTTCTTAGCAAACATTAAGACAGGAGTTGGTGGGAGGAGGGGGAAGAGTTCTTATTTACTCTCAAACTAAAATATTCATCTTCCTTGGATTTGAGGAAGGCAATCCATCCTGGTAGGGTTTTCAGTGTTCTTGAGGCAGCATTTCTTAAAATTATGTCTATAAAAAGATCACCTGGGGATCTTCTAACGCGGTGTAGAGACAAGGTAGGCCTGACACTCAGCGTCTCCCATCAGCATCTGACTGATGTGTGGGTTCTGCAAGGCCTAAGGAAGAAAGGCGGTCTGACGGCCCCTTCATTTCTCTGTGCTACTTTCCTGACTCTTCCAGCCAAGGGCAATCAGACTCGCACACCCCACCCCCAAGCACCTTCCAGAAGCTGCAGTCTCAGTCCTGTGTCTCCTGGGGCATCTTTGTATGATCAAACAGACCCAGAATCCTGGTTCTTCAACCTGAAAACACAAGTATGGAAACCTCCAATTGTTCATGCATGGCCCAATTTCTTTCTAGTTCAGATTTGCAGAATTTAAGGAAATTTTACTACATTTCAATAACTCCCCTGGATGTGTTCTAGCTGTCTGCCATCTAGTTAACAGTGCACCCCCGCACATACACACACGATCTTATTTAAAATCACAAGCATGTGTTATCTCAGAGTGTCTGTATGTTGTGAGTTCAGGATCAGCTTAGCTTGGTGAGCTCAGGACCTGTCAGGAGGCTGGCCAGGACTGCAGCCATCCAAAGGCATGACCGGGGCTGGAAACGCCACCTCCAGGTGGTGTACTGTTGCCTAGTAACAGAAAGCTTCAGCTCCCTGCTGGCTCAGGACAGCCAGGAGGCCTTGGTTGCTCTTCACCTGGGCTTCTGTTTAGGGCTGATGACGTGTCCTCAGGTGGAGAGGGTGACCACAAAGAAAGCAAGGAGGAGGAGGAAGCTAAATAGATTTTGTGACCTTGTCCCAGGAGCTGAACTCTCTTGATCCTGCTGTGCTGTGTTATCAGGAGCCCATCACCAAGCAAAACTTATCCTCAGAAAGAGGGAATCAGCCTGAACCATGTGAGATGTGCACTGTCCGTGAACCTGTGAACACACAGCTGGGTCCCCTCCGATGTTCTGTAGCCAAGAGGCCACCATGGCAGTGACCCATCCAAGGGATTGATGCCCCTTTTGCCCTCACAGCTGTCTTTTGCTCTCTTTAAGGGACCCCTGAGATCATGGATAGTGAAGACCGTACTCCCTGTGCAGCCATTCCAAAACAGAAAGCCATCAGTTCCATTCTATTGTGCTATGATCCATCTGGTGAAATCAAGACGCCCTTACCAGTGCAAAAAGGGCCGTAGGAATAAGGACAAAGAGCCAAGTTCCACACTTGACTCCTGACTCTGCTCCTTAGTTGTGTGTTTCAGCAGGAAAACCACTGAAGTCTTGGCTTCTTTAGGTGGAAAATGGGAGTAGTACCTGTACCTGGCTCACACAGATGTGAGCGTGAATGCGTGCACGGAGGGTCCCGTGGAAGGGCAGGCCGGAAGTGCCTTCACTTCCCACTTCCTGCTGCAGTGAAAGCTTTCTCCGGCTGCAGAGACATTGACCATCGTTTCTGCCCCACCTGTGTGCTCCCTCACCAGCACCTCCTCTTACCCTCTGTTTGAATCTGATTGACCCCTGTAGGCTACTTTCACGTAGGCACAGATTGTCCTGACAAACTGAGGCTGAACCCCTTCCTGGGTACCTTCCACCCTCCGCCCTTCAGTCCATTTCTGAAGATCCTCGGGCACAAAGGTGACTGTGTGCCCATCTCTAGTGGCACCATCTTATTGTCTGGCATTGGAGTGGCCGGAGTCAGCTCCTTGCAAAGCCCAGCACTGAGACGCCCATGCTGTCCTGCCAAGCGCCCTTTCTGTTTTGAGCTCCAGGAGGAAACTGACAGATTGTTTTGAATTGAGTCTTAAACCAGTGCAAGGTTGGAGTACTTGAAAGAGTCTCCAGGGAAGTGGAAAATATATTTGTTCTACAGTATGTTTAGAGATTTTTTTTTAAAGTGGTGAGAATGTCCTGACAAAGATTTTGAGAGGTGGTGCATTATATATTTATGTCTTTAAAGCCGTAAAAAAAATCCTTCAAAATTTGTTCTGTTTTCTCTCCAGGTATTTAGTCTTCCTACAGATCAAAAGGGATCTCTACCATGGCCGCCTCCTGTGTAAGACGTCGGATGCTGCCTTGTTAGCTGCTTATATCCTTCAAGGTAATGACATTTGACAGGATAAATTTGCTTTTCATGCTCAGTACTGATTATATTATTTCAGTTGCCACAGATGACTACTTCTTGGATCTAAATACTATCTAACTTGACACCAAATCCAAGTTAGAGCATTTTGCCTGGTTCCTCTGGAGCCCCAAATTCCGGCTCACCCAGTCCTAACCTGTACCCGAGGTCTAACACCAGCACTGACCGGCGTTCTCATCCTCTGTGGCGGATTTGCCAGGCACCCTGGGTTGATAAAATTACTTAGACTCTAGGGCAGCACCGAATCAATTTCTTCCTCTTCTCTTAGGCACATCTCTAAGATGTGAAGCAGCTTGGCTTCCTGGTGTCTGTTTCAGAGATCTTTCGGTAGAGTGCTCAAAGTTGAGAGTGTTTCCGAGTAACAAGCACATTTCTTAACGCACCAGTAAGTGCCGAGTCCTACCCAGCTGGGGCCCAGATGGACTTTTTTTTTTCCCCCGAAATGATGGGAGAGACAGGTACTATTCATGGATGTCCCCTTCTTCCACAAAATGAAAAGGTCAGGTGCCACTATCTAAATTTTGCTTGATCCTTAGCCTTAAAACTGCCATTGTCCCTGGATCATTTTGGACCACAGCACTAGAATCGTGAAGTTTTCCATCCCAGAATCTGAACCCTTATTGGAAATATACAAACTCCCAGAAGCAACTATGTAAGCATCATAGGGGGAGGTGTTGTAAGTAGCAGGTGAACTGCAGCATGGGACGCCTGCATCCCATGTCAGAGGGCCTGGTTCTAGCCTGAGCTATTCTGCACTTCTAACCCAAATGCCTGCTAATGTTCCTGGGAGGCAGTATCATCCAAAATGGGAGATTGAGACACAGGCTTTGGGCTTGGGCCTGGTCCAGCCTTGGCTACTGGGGGAATTTGGGGAAATATAACAGCAGACCTCATCTTGTCACTCTGTCTTTCAAATACATAACCTTTAAAATTTTTTTAAAGATTATTTATTTCAAAGACATAGTTACAGAGGGAAAGAAAGAGACAGAAAGAAAAAGATCTTCCATCTGCTAGCCCACTCCCCAAATGGGCACAAAAGCTGGGGCTGGGCCAGGCAAAAGCCAAGAACCAGAAGCTTCCTCCTTGTCTCCCACATAGATTCAGGGGCTCAAATAGCTGGGCCATCCTCTTGCTGCTTTTCCCAGGTCATTAGCAAAGAGCTGGGTCAAACATGGAGCAGCTGGAATTCAAACTAATGCCTAAATAGGATGCCTGCATCACAGGTAATGGCTTAAAATGCTACACCACAGTGTTAACCTCTAAGTAAAGATATATTTTTATTGGAAAGTCAGATTTACAGAGAGGAAGGAAACACAGAGAAAGATCTTTTTTTAAAAAAAAAGATTTATTTATTTATTGGAAAGTCAGATATATGGAGAGGAGGAGAGACAGAGAGAAAGATCTTCCATCCGATGATTCACTCCCCAAGTGAACGCAACGGCCAATGCTATGCCGATCCGAAGCCAGGATCCAGGACCTTCTTCCGGGTATCCCGCGCAGGTGCAGGGTCCCAAGGCTTTGGGCCGTCCTCACCTGCTTTCCCAGGCCACAAGCAGGGAGCTGGATGGGAAGTGGAGCTGCCGGGATTAGAACTGGCGCCCATATGGGATCCCAGTGCATGGCAAGACAAGAATATTAGCCACCAAGCCCTTGCGCTGGACCCTAAATAATATTTAAACAAAAAAGAATATAGATATTGCCATTTTGATTTCTAAGACTGCTATTTTTTAAGTCACATAAATGGGAAGTCTAGCAGGTGTTCACTAATTTTAAGATACCCACAGAGTTCCCTTTCATTTTGTTTATTCGAGAGACAGAGATCCTGTCTGCTGATTCACTACCTCATAGCCTGCAATGGCCAGGACTGAAGTGCCCCAAAGCCCGGAGGTAACTACTTAAACCAGGTCCACCTCCGTGGGTGGCCTGGACCCAACTACATGAGCCGTCTGCTGTTCCCCAGAGTCTGATCTGCAGGAAGCTGGGATCAGCAGTCATGGCTGAGGATGAAACCCAGGCCTTTCAGTGTGGGATGCACACATCCCAGCGTCTTCACTGTGAGGCCAGATGCCCACCCCGCATGTACTGAGTGTCCAGTATTGACATTTTCCACTTGGCACTTTCTAATTAAAATAAAAATAAATGACCCTAAAACCCAAGTGAGCCCAGACTTCAGTTCAGGGCGTGTTGCCAAACAGTTGAGATTCCCAGGTAGTGTAAAAGGCACAGTGAGTTGACTGATGGTGAGAACGCGCGAGGCACAGGTGCAGCTCTGCCACCCCTCGTGGGGAGCACCGCATTCCCACTCCTCCCTGAGCACGTCTCACCTGAAATGGATGTCACTGTTAGTTGGGGAGGAAAGAGCGCAGCCACAGGCAGCTGAGACCTGCTGCTTCCCTTGGTCATTGCCAGCGGGTCCCCAGGGAGCACCTCCCATGAGAAAGTTGGCTTCCACCTGGGAGCATCTGGGGCCTGCTTTCCTCTGCGCTCTCAACAGCTGTAGATGCAGATGAACCCTCGTGCCAGCAGGGGACTGAGAAAGCAACCTGGGGACCTCCTGCTCAGTGACACCTGCTGGTTAACAGCCACTGCTCCCTTGCCCAGGTCAGCCCTCCGTCTCCGCAGGAGGGAGTCTGATTTGCCCTGAAGGTTGAGTTCTGCTTGTGGGTTATAGCTCAGGCATCAGTTCTTTATGTCCCTGCTAAAATCCTCAGCGTGAGATTTAGGCCTCTAGTCCAGCTCAGACCTTGAAGGTTCCGTCTGGCTGATCCAGCTCACTATTTCCTGTGCTGCCGTGAAGGGCTTTGTGTCTGGGTCCTCTTCACAGGGCTGGGTGGGTGAGGATCCAGATGTTGCTTGCAGTGACCTTAGCACAGGGTCCAGCCCCGCTGCATCCCTGGGTAGACTTGAATTGGCACAGCTTGTCAGCCAAGAGCATGCGAGTGACTCCTCATCACCCTCCTCGAGCCGAGCCATGGCGAGCCCCGGGCGCTCTGTGCATCTGAGATGCGCCTTGGCGTCAGCTGGAGGTGCTGACCTCCTGTTGCTTTGTCAGTGATCACTTACACGTCTCCACCACTGTCTGCTTCTGCCTTCCCTTCAAAAGCGGAAATCGGCGATTATGACCCAGGGAAGCACCCCGAAGGCTACAGCTCCAAGTTCCAGTTTTTCCCCAAACATTCGGAGAAGCTGGAAAAGAAAATCGCCGAGATTCATAAGATGGAACTCAGGTGAGTGGCCCCCGGCTCAGGTCCTGGCCCACTCAGGTGAGTGGCTCCCAGCTCAGGTCCTGGCCCACTCAAGTGAGTTGTTCCCACCTCAGGTCCTGGCCCACTCGCCTGAGTGGCTCCCGGCTCAGGTCCTGGCCCACTCAGGTGAGTGGCTCCCGGCTCAGGTCCTGGCCCGTGGCTCCCTGAGGCTCTGTGCTATGAGCTCTCTGCCTGCTGTGAAGGGACTCCCCTGCCTTCCCAAACCTGCCCGCTGGCCCACTGCCTGTGCTGTCCAAGCCCTGTGGCCAGAAAGGGAATCACAGATCTGAAAAGTTGCTGAGATTCGTGAAGGCATAACAGGCAGGGGACAGACTGCAAGAAAGGAAAAGAAAAATGCAAAAGAGGAAAAAAGCTATCGAGGAAAGCATGGCTGGGGCCGTGAAAACCAGGCAGGCCTCGGCCCTCAGCCTGTGACATGGTGACAGGTGGCTTCAGGCAGAGGACGGGCTGCCCACAGCTGCCGAGGTCTCCCAGTACTGTGGGCACCTGCAAGTGCTTCCGCTTGCAAGCGCTGCCCAAGCCATCCCCCAGCCCCCTGCCTCGCTCTCCCCAGCTCCTCTTGGCTGCAGAGAATTTGCCAAATCCTCTAACACTGCCTCGTGTCCTCTTGCCCATGAAGAGTAGGCTTTTTCGCAGAAGCTGGTTTTAAGCAGCAACAGGGAGCATGTTCGGGTCCTCCTCTGTGCACCATGCTAGAGCAGAATCCCCATGCTGAAAACTGCAAAGCAAAAAAGTGTGCACACTGCAGTGTCGGGACATAGAATGCTTTGTCATTGTTTGAATACACTGAAGTTTCCTTTGTAATCTTTCACAAAGGTTTGTGTGTCTGTAATTTTGATGAAATACCATGTTGGGCATGGAGGATTTTTTAAAAAAATCTCTCTATTAATGTATTTGAGTGACAGACAGAGAGAGAGAGAGAGAGAAAGAGAGAGAGACCTTCCATCTGCTGGTTCCCTCCCCAAATGCCTGTAATGGCCATGGCTGGGCTGAGGTCAAAGACAGACAGACAGACAGACACACACACACACACCCCGCTACCACCAAACAGACACACACACACCGCTACCACCAAAAACAAAACCTTTCCACCCTCACTCACTTCAGCCACAATGTAACTCAGAGCCCCCTAGCCTTTGTCACTGGACCCCTGCCCCATCATGCATGGCGGCAGAGGAACCTGGACCCTGCCAGAGGAACAGGGACACCTGTCAAGGTGGCATCCTGGGAGCTTCCGTCCTGCCTGGCCTGCACAGCCAAGTTCAGGACCCATTACTCTCTACCGGGGAAATAATGACCCCTTGTGGTACACGTCAGAATGAACTCTGCCTTGTGTGGAGCCTCATGGTCCGTGCAGGATGTGCTGGAGCCACTGTGAGGTTTTAGATGTTGCAGTCCGAGGAACAGGCCTCTGGAAACTTGGTCCGAGCTGGGGATCCCCCTGGGGACTGATGCCTGCTTTGAGGGCAAACTCTAGGGGTGAATGAAGTCCACGGGCAAGCAAAGAATGGGGAGCTCCCTGGTAGGGCAGCAGCACTGACGCCCGTCACATACCCACCCTCCACTCAGGGTCGCTAGAGGCAGTCTGGTCTGCAGCTCCCAGGGACTGCCTGGCCCTGTTATTTGAGAGCCACGGCAAGCCTGGAAAACAGCAACTCGCAGCCCCGTGCGCTGGCCTTCGCAGGGGTGGACTGCATGTGCTGTCCACTCCTGTGCTTCTGGAGCAGTTGCCTCAGCTTTGCCCAGACCCTTGCCCCATGCCAGAGCCTGACGGAGATGCCACCTCCAAGCTCCCCCCGGGTGTGCATCCCCCTGCTAAAGAGGCAGCTGGGAAGGCAGCTTCGTCCCCTGGCTCAGAGCTGGACTGGTTTCTTCCATTTCCAGCTTGCTTCCCTTCCGTACTCACCACCCTGTGGGCACACAGAGTTGTGGAATGTAGGGGGCTCAGCCCTGCCCTCTTCTGCTTCTTACCTAGGAACTCATGGCTGAGAAACAATTGCATTTTTGAGTGCTTGTTTCGGCAGCACATATACTAAAATTGCATTTTTGAGATGGAGAGAGTACCCACCCCCAGCCTGCCACAGTCCCCAACACTCCTTGCACACCTTAGAAAAACAAACAGCACATCTTTTTTTTTTAAGATGTATTTATTTGTATTAGAAAGGCAGAGATATAGAGAGACAGAAATAGAGAAAAGTCTTCCATCTGCTGGTTCACTCCCCAACCAGCTGCAATGACTAGAGCTGAGGTGATCCAAAGTCAGGAGCCAGGAGCTTCTTCCACATCCCCCATGTGGGTGCAGGGTCCCATCCTCAGGGTCCCTAGGCCATCCTCACCTGCTTTCCCAGGCCATAAGCACGGAGCTGGAAGGGAAGTGGAGAAGCTGGGATACAAACCAGCACCATATGGGATCTCAGCAGATACAAGGCAACGACCTTATCCACTAGGCTACTGCGCCAGGGCCCAAGAGCACATCTCCATAGAGTTTATTTGGGGGGACCCCAAGAGAATAGGAAAGCAGAAATCAGCTTATTTTCTTTATTCCAGTGGCCAATCACCAGCAACATCAGAGTTGAACTTCTTAAGAAAAGCTCAAACATTGGAAACATACGGAGTGGACCCTCACCCGTGCAAGGTAAGGCTTGCGTAGAGACTGGCGCCAGGAGCCAGGGACAGTGTGCCCGTGCCCATCACACACCCCTGTGGCATTCATCGGGTTGATTATTACGGTGACAGGTCCGTGGGAAATGTCTCACTTAGGAAACTCTGGATCACATGTTGCATGGTCCTGCGGTGCCACATCCATGTCAGAGGAGTCTGCCTGGCCAGCAGATTGCCTGTCGGGCGCCCTGCGTTGGCAGCAGTGGCTCATTTGGTGAAAATAGAAAGAGGAAGAAAGCAGAGGCTCCCACAAAGGGTGACCTACCCAGCCCAGCACTGGCCTACCCTTTGCTGATCTGCAGTCGAGTTTCTCTCCCCGAGTGGATTTTATTGGCTACAGTGGCATGAGTCACACTGCGGAAGTGCAGTGGAGTCTTAGTCCCTTTACGTGCCGGGGAGGCTGTCCCAGCCCACATCTCTGTGCTCACCTGCCTGGGCAGGCGCTGTGGCCACGCCCCTCCCACTGCAGCTCCATCCCCAGCCTGAGTGGGCAGGCTCCGGAACCAGCAGAGACGGTCTCTCCATCTGGTCTGCCAGAGACAGGGTCGGCAGGGAGCAGGAAGGCAGCACTCGCTTCCTCCCAGGATGTGAAGGGAAGCTGCAGACATCCAAGGAGAGCAGACAGGACAGGCAGTTCAGTCGCTCCCCACAGCTGCTCCAGCATCAAGTGTGTCAGACTGGCCACGGACCCTGAGAGAAAGTTCCGATCTCACAGCTCCGAAGACCAGAAGTCAGGGAGCCACCTGTGCCTTCGCAGGCGCCGGGGACTGGCTGGCTCAGGGCTGTCCGCTTGCTGAGGCTTCCCGCGGGGCTCCACCCTGACAGCCTCTGTGCTGTAAAGATCCCACCTCCAGATAAGGCAGGTGTACTTCTGAGAGGTCATAATTCAGCGAATAACAGAACACCAACAGAGGAACCAGTGACCTGGGGACAAAGCAGTGTTTGCTCTGCACCCCCGACGAGGTGATGGTGATCTTTCTTTCTGGCCTTGGCTCCCATAGGAACTTTAAAAAAAAAAAAAAAAAAGAAAAAGACTTATTTATTTTATTACAAAGTCAGATATGCAGAGAGGAGGAGAGACAGAGAGGAAGATCTGTCTGCTGATTCACTCCTCAAGTGGCTGCAATGGCCAGAGCTGAATTGATCTGAAGCCAGGAGCCCAGAGCTTCTTCCAGGTCTCCCACGCAGGTGCAGGGACCCAAGGCTTTGGACTATGTTTGACTGCTTTCCCAGGCCACAAGCAAGGAGCTGGATGGGAAATGGGGCCGCTGGGATTACAACCAGCTCCCATATGGCATCCTGGCATGTTCAAGGCGAGGACTTTAGCTGCTAGGCTACTGCACCAGGTCCTCTCATAGGAACATTGAGAACACCATGATGCTCAGAAGTCCGGCTCATCTTCCCTCCCCAGCTTCCTGTGCGATAATCACTATGTCCTCACGGCCTGTGTTGTAGAAACCATTTTTGTTTCTAAGGAAGAACTGATGTGTCAATGCTTGCAGTTCAGCAGAGCTCTATACGGAGAAGTGCCCCCTGGAGTAGAGATGGTTGATGCCCATCCCCCATCTACTGCTTGGAGGCATCTGGGGGCTGGGAGCGAGGAGAGCTTCGGGGGCAGCTTGCCCTCAACTGCTCCTGCTCTCCTTCTGGGGTCATTGAGTCTTCTCTGAGCCCTGCTTTCCTGGTTGGTATGAAAGTACCCAGCAGGTGTTCAGTAACCAGGCTCCCCAAACTACTGACATTAGAAGACATTAAAATTCGGAGCTACCTAAAGGTAGATGGGGTCATCAGAAGCAGCTGGTCCCCTTGAGGCCACATGTGGTTGCAACTGACCCAGGGTGGGTAGGGAGCTTCCACCGTTGCCCATGGGGTATGGTGGCTGCACATCGTTAGAGCCAGCCCAGCATCCAGCCCAACCCACGTGCGCCCTGCTCAGCCTTGACTTCAGTAAGCCTGCCCATCACTGGACATGGAAGGCTGGAAGAGGCTACAGAAGGAGCTAGCACAGCTCAGTCCCAGCCAGCCTGTCTCCCAGCCAGCAGCAACTCCAGCAAGGATGAGGGGGGTGGGAGAAGTTCATGGCACATCTTCCTCAGCAGGCCCATGGAGACCTTCCATGTTGTTTTCTCATATCATTGTCATCCCAGCCCCGGAAGGTGGCTGCCATTCTCCCCGTCTCATAGATAAGAAGTCAGGTTTCCAGGGAAGCTGTAGTTCACAGGGCCCCGAGTGGTAGAGCAAAGGGCCAGACAAGTCACTTCCCAAGGTGTAGGACCCAGTGAAGACCAGAAGCCCCGGGAGACTTCTGTTGGGGCTGGGGTGGGAGCAGTCATCTCCTTAGCTTTCCAGGGCCTGGTTCCTGGGCCATGTAGCCTTAGCAGACCCAGGGCCAAGTCAGGGTCCTGCTGAGACCTCAGCTGTGGTCCCTCCGCTCCTGTCAGTTGGCCTTCCCAAGCCAAGTGGACAAACATTTTGGGAGCTTTTATTCTTGTCATTAAGTAGAGTCACTTTGGTGATAGGCTCCCAGGCACCCCCCTTAATGTTGCTGCAAGGAGAGCTGAAGCAAGCTGGCACGCTAAGTGCAATAAATACCAATGATTTCTATTAACAGAGGCAATTACTGGGCCCGGGGAATCTGGGGCAGGCAGCCCTGGGGAGGGCACAAGCAGAGGAATCATTTTGATAATTAAGTGAGAGCAGAACGATGCTTTGGCTAGGCTCTGGTTCCTTGGACCAATGAGGAAGCTACTGCTCATCCTGTGTATGCCGGTGGCCTCCTCCTGCCCAAAGTGTCCTTGCCTGGCCCAGGGACCAGGCCCAGGGAATCCTATGAACCCAGGCCAGGCTGGCCAGAGCTCCGCTTGCTCGCTGCCTTGCGGTAATCCCTGACCTCGAACAGCTCTGTCCCCAGCACTGCCTTCAGCCCTCACGCCCTAGCTCCTGGCTGGAGTGACCAGCTGCCAGAGTACAAGGTGGAACCAACCCCTGGCCACCCAGGGCTGTGTATGTTCCTCAGCCCTGCCCTCTCACCAACCTTGGGAGCCACCAGCCTGTCCCGTCCAGGTACACTGTGGCTGTTTTCCTGTCCCAACCCGTGCAGCCACAGGCAGTGGCGCCCCATGGCCTGCTGAAAAGGCCACCCTGGTTTATAGAGCCTTCCAGACACCCAGCCAGTACCCAGACTCATTACTGCTGAGAGTCTGTGTGAGCCAAGCACTTACATATATCATCTCATTTATTCTTTACAATGTCACTACCAAGAAGATATTCCTGTCCTCATTTTGTTCCAGGAGCACTGAGCCACTGTACAGATAAAGACAGATAAGAAGGACATCAGAAGTCCCCTGTGAGGGACTAAAATGCCCTGGGTTGCTAGTTAGGATCGAGAGGTGTCTGTGTTTTTTCCAAGTGTTGTTTCTGGTCTGCCCTCTGGGGAGATGGCACTTAATTAGGAACCAAGCATTTCTCACTGCCAAGTCTGAAATTATACAACGAATACTGGAATCACTGTGTAAGAGTGTACACTCGCCAGTGTATCGTGCTTTGTATGGACGGGAGAGAACAGATTTCAACAGGCTGTAAATGTGATCAACTACCAAGAGTAAAATGATCCTGTTTGTTCCTCTGTCCCTGCACAGATCACTACGTCCATAATCCAGCCACCTACCCTCCTCTCTGCCTCCAAACTCCCTCCTCCTTATTGGAAAGGCATACTTATAGAGAGAAAGATCTTCCACCTGCTGGTTCATTCCCCAAATGGCTACCATGGCAGGAGCTGAGTTGATCTGAAGCCAGGAGCCAGGAACTTCTCCCAGGTCTCCAGGCTGGTGCAAGGTCCTAAGGACTTGGGCCACCTTCTGTTGATTTCCCCAAGCCATAATCTGGAGCTGGATGGGAAGTGGAGCAGCCAGGACATAAATTGGTGACCATATGGGATCCTGGCGCTTGCAAGGTGAAGATTTAGTCATTGTGCCATTACACCAGGCTCAAGAACTATATATATATATATATATGATTTTCTGTAAAAGGCAGAGTCAGACGTAGAAAATCTTTCGTCTGCTAGATCACTCTCAAATGGCTGCAGTGGCTAGGGTTGGGCCAAGCCACAGCTAGGAGCTTCATCAGGGTCTCACACTTGGGTGCAGGAGCAGGTGGAAGACCTTTCTCTCTGTCCCGGCTCTCTAAAAGTCTGCCTTTCCAATAAAATAAATAAATATTTTTAAAATAATGAAAAGCCCTGCTGCTTTCCCAGGCACGTAAGCAGGGACTTGGGTCAAGAGTACAGCAGCCGGGACCTGAACTGGCACCTACTAGGATGCCTTAGCAGATGATGGCTTATCCTTCCACGCCACAGTGCTGTCCCTGAAAAAAGTAAATTTTTTAAGATTTATTTCTGCAAAGTCAGATATATATATAGAGAGAGGAGGAGAAACAGAGAAGTAGATTTTCTGTCTAGTGATTCACTCCCCAAGTGACCACAATGGCTGGTATTGTGCCAATCCAAAGCCAGGAGCCAGGAACTTCCTAAAGGTCTCCATGCAGGTGCAGGGTCCCAAGGCTTTGGGCCATCCTCGACTGCTTTCCCAGACCACAAGCAGGGAGCTGGATGGGAAGCGGGGCTGCTGGGATTAGAACCAGTGCCCATATGGGATTCTGGTGCATTCAAGACGAGGACTTTAGCCACGAGGCCACCGCACTGGGCCCAGTAATTTTTTTAACCACCTCACAGCCATGAGCCTGGCAGGCAGGCAGTACCTGTGGGAAAGCTGTCAGGATGGGAGATTTCATTCCGCCTCCCAGATCCAATAGCGGCTCAGTCCTGCAGGTCCTGATTTCATGCGACGTGGGGAGATGTGCACAGGAGAGGGGGAAGAGTGGAGGCGAGTGCTGTCACTCTCTCTTCCACCTTGTTCCTCTGTCTCATCACTCCATCTTGTTGTTTTACACTCAGATCTCACAGGGACGCTCGTAAGAATGGCATACCAGGCGACAGGGACGTCCCAGAGGCAGTGTCAGTGGGGTTCCTGCTTGGATCCTCACGCCAGAGGGCTGTGTCAGAGATGGGGTCACTGTCCTGCCAAGCCCTGGCCCTCCCTGCTTGCTGAGGCTCACATGCCAGAGTCCTGTGGACACCATGCTGGCTGCTGGCCACCCGCCACCCCCTGTGGGCCCAAGCGCTGGCCTCCTGCCATGACCTTCATCTGCAGCTGTTGCACTTGAAGTCGTGTGGACCAGTGGGAGGCTGGACTGAGATGGCTGCGGCTGATGTGACCTCACTCGGGTGGGGGCCTGGGTCCCTCCCTGTTCCAAAGACACGTGGTGGGGCATCCCACGGCACAGCCTCTGCCTCCGCAGGATGCCAGCCCTCAGGGGCCTGTGAGGTGTGGGTGAGCAGTGCCAACTAGGATGACTCGGCTCTCCGCCCGCCTCCTCCCTCCCTGTCCTTGGGACACCTCGTGGATCGCTAGGTCGCAGCATCCAGCCACGCTCCCTGCCAGGCAAGTTAGAGACCACCCAAATCCTTCTCCGTGGTCCCTGAACAAGAGATTTCTCCTTTTTAAATTCTATCTTCCCACATGAGAAAAAGTTTAAATGCATCAACATCAGGAAAATAGTATAAACTTGTTTTGGAAAGCATTCCTATGAGACAGCTGGCGGTACACTAGCAGCATCAGATGACTTACGAGGAAGGTAGTACTGTTTTTTCTTTTCTTTCTCTTTTTCTTTCTTTCTTTTTTTTTTTTTTTTTTTTGGAAAGGCAGATTTACGGAGAGAAGAGACAGAAAGATCTGCTGTCCACACACACACACACATCCCACCAAATAGCTGTAACAGCTGAAGCTGAGCCAGTCTGAAGCCAGGAGCCAAGAGGCCCCTCAGGGTCTCCCACGCAAGTGCAGAGAGTTGGTCAAAAGTATAGCAGCTAGGACCTGAACTGGCACCTATGGGGTGCTGCCTTGGCAGATGGTGGCTTGTCTTTGAGCCGTCCTCTGCTACTTCCCCAGACCATAAGCATGCAGCTGGATGGGAAGTAGAGTAACTGGGACACAAACCGGTGCCCATCTGGGATGTTGGCACTTACAGGTGGAGAATTAGCCAATTGAGCCATTTGAGCCCCAAGGTAGGGAGTATTTTCAATCTTAGTTTTATGATGAAGAGTTCAAACCATGGGGAAACTAATGACCTGGCCATAATCACACAGTGGGTGGCAAAACCAGAGCTGGAGTTGAGGCATCTGAGCTGGAGTCCACAGGCCTGTGGATCTGAGGAGGTGCTCTTCTGGCCTCACTGCCCACGTGGGCTGGAGTGGGAGGAGCAGGGGGGGACGGCCGCTGCCCGCCCTTCCGGCCTCTGCTGCTCTCCCTGCTGTCTGTAGCCACTGGCTGTCTCCCCCAGGACCTTCCTCTGTGTCAGGGGTTGTAAAATACCACTCCTTAAAAAACAAAAACAAACCAGATATACTTATTTATTTATTTGAAAGAGCGACAGAGATCATCCATGTGCTCATTTACTTCTCCCACGTGGCCACCCTCAGGCATCCCCACCCCATCCTCGCACACCTGCAGTTTCAGGACCTCGGGCTCCTGGGCCCTCTTGTGCAGGGCCCAAGTGCGTGGGCCATCCTATGCCGCTTTCCTAGGTGCATTAGCATGGAACTGGATTGGAAGTGGAGCAGCCAGGACTTGAACCGGCATCCATATGGAATGCTGGGATTGCAGGTGGCAGCTTGACCAGCTGTGCCACAGTGCTAGCCCCCACCACTCACCCACCCCACCTCACCTCACCTCTGTATTTCCCCCATTGTGACCCATCTCACTGTCGCCGCCTGCTGGCCTCTTTGGTCCCAGCACAAATGCACTTGCATCTCCACCCGTCCTCGCACAGCTGCAGTTTCAGGACCTCCTTGGCTCCTGACCCAAATCTCTGCCCCGTCGGCCGGGTCAGCAGTGGTGCCTTCTGGCAGGAACAGGGTAATACCAGCCACCCAGCACTGCTGCCGAGCAGGAGCCAGCCGCAGGGCTTGGCAGCATCTCCACTCAGGTTATTGTTAAACAGTGTTTGCTGTGCCCCTGGGTGAGTGACTTTGTGCCTGCACCAAGAGTTGGGAACTACAGGCGCTGAGGAAAGCGCAGTGACAGTGCCCTGATCAGAAAGGCTTGCACTACAGTCAATTCCATAGGCCCAGCTCGTGTTTATAACTCTTACTCCAGGAGTCAGTTATGTTTTGTGGTTCTAGGGGGTTTTTTGTTTGTTTGCTTGTTTTTTTGTTGTTTAAGAGGGAGAGGAGGAGGGGTAGAAAAACAGAACAAGGAGGGCTGGTGCCATAGCATAGTATGCCAGGGCTCTGCCTGCAGCACCAGCATCCCATCTGGGTGCCAGTTCACGTCCAGGCTGCTCTGCTTCTGCTGCAGATCCCTGCTTGTGACCTGAGAGGGCAGCAGAGAATGGCTCAAGCCCATGGGCCCCTACACCCGCACGAAGACCAAGAAGACATTCCTGGTTCCTGGCTTAAGATCATCTCCAGCCACTGTGGCCATGGGGAGAGTGAGCCAGCAGATGCAAGCTCTCTCACACATGCACCTTCCTGCTGTAACTGCCTTTCCAATTGGAAAGAAATTACAGAAAAGAGAGACAGAAAGAGCTTCCGTCTGTTAGTTCACTCCCCAAGTGGCTGCAACAGCCACGCGGGTGCAGGGACCCAGGGCTTTGGGCCGTCCTATACTGCTTTCCCAGGCCACAAGCAGGGAGCTGGATGAGGAAGCAGGACCGCTGGGATTAGAACCGGCTCCCATATGGGATCCTAGGTGTGCAAGGCGAGGACTTTACCCACTAGGCTACCGCACCAAGCCCACAGAACCACAAGGCCTTCTTAACTGACTTCATACCTTTAGCAGTCTGTTTTTAAGATTCATCTACGTTGTGGCATGAGTCAGTCTTTCCTTCCTTTTTACAAAAGAACACTCCATTATGCCACTCAGTCTGTGAGTTAGCGGCGCCCAGGGGTGCTGGGCTGGCTGGTGTCTTGTTACTGCAAACAGTGCTGCTGTCAACACGGGTGCCCTCGCTGCTGTGCTGACATACTTTCTGTTGTCCGGGGTACAAACCTAGGAGGGGAACTGCAGACCTTGTCACCATATTTAACCACTTGAGGAACCTCCAAACTGCTTCTCTGTGCCCCCTCACAGCCACAGTCCCACCAGCCACGTGGGAGCCCCCATCCTCTGGGGGCATCATCCAGGGCTGGTCACAGGGCCTGCGAAGGTTGGTGGCGTCACAGGACAGAGGCTCGGAGAGGGCCTTGCCCGCGGTCACACAGCTGGCCAGTGGCAGGGCTGGGACTAGACCATGGCCTGGCCCGTGTGCCCCAGGGGAAGCAGCCTTGCCTTTGACGCGCTCACCCTTCCTCTGTGCCCACATCACCCCATGAGAACTCTTCCTGTGTCGCAGGACGTGTCGGGGAATGCTGCGTTTCTGGCCTTCACGCCTTTTGGGTTTGTGGTTCTCCAAGGAAACAAGAGGGTCCACTTCATCAAATGGTGAGTGTCTTCCACGTAGGAGCAGCTTGGGGTCCCTGGGGGCCGCGGCCCCCAAGCCCTTTGGCTGTGACTGGACAGTTGGGGCCAGGGCAAGCCCACCACAGTTTGATATGGACAGTGGTGACTGATGTGGGTGGTGGCCTGCACCCCAGGGATCCTGCCCCTCCAGGGGCGATCTCGGAGGGCCAGCTGCCTCTCCAGAGAGGGAAGGCATGTAGGTTTGGTTTCTGGGGTGGGGGTGGGGCGGGATGAGGCCAATGATAGAGAAGCAAAGTTCCCGTGAGGTTGGAGTCCCTGGCGCATGTCGGGAAAGGCTGTTTCTGCCCTCCTGGGGGCAATGTGTTACTTTGTCACCCTGGCAAAATGCCCTCATACCTGCCCCCACCGTGGGCCTCTCTTTTCTGAGAGCGCCCGGGTAGCTGTGTCCCAGCAGGTGTCTCCCCACGCTCCTTTCCCCCACCCCCCACCTCGGTCACGGCAACTCCCAACCGTTGTGCTCCTGCCCCTCCGGAAAGGCTGCAGGCACAGACTCTGGGTGGCCTGGAGACCCTGCTGCTGGCTGGCCCATGCAAGCATGGCAGCCTCCTCGGAACGCCCTGCAAGCCCTCGCCACCACTGGCCGGCTCCCCCCACGGGCTTGGCTGTGTGGCTTCTCTGTCCAGCAGGGCTCGGCACAGGGTGGGGAGATGCCTGCGCTCATGGCTCCTTTGCCTTCTCCAGAAACCCCATGGGCAATCTGAGTACTGAGCAGCTTCTGGGGGCACCTCCCCTTCTGCACCCCACAGCTCCCTAAGCCGGTGGCCCCTGCAGCCCACAGGGCCCTTGTAAACAGTGGCCACATGGTGATGGCTCTGGGTGACCTCTGCAAAAGGAGCCACGTTAGCCTAGCATGCCCCTTCCTAAGGGACCCTTCACTGGGCTCCCTTGGGGGAGGTGTGAGGGTTTGGGGTTTCCGGTCCAACAGAATACTGTTCAGAAGTCCATGAGCAGGACCCAGCCACAGGTGGAACATCTGCCACGTGGACACATCTGGCCGGCTTGGGCCACATTTGGTTCCCTTTAGGGCAGATGCAGCTCTTAGATACACCTGCCACCCCTCAATTTCTAAAGCTTTTCCCATCTACCACTACTTCAGGAAGTCTCTTTTCCAAGTCTTAACATGCCATGTACAGTAACCATGTCACTTCTGATTTGTGTCTGTCCCACAGGTGACATCCCCACAATCCTATTTGCCTCTTTACTGCAGCCATTCACTGGACTGGTGGCTTCAAGCATTTTTCTACAATTACCCCTAAGCCCCTTTCCTAGTACACTGCATGGTTATTCCATGTAATCTGGCCTCTTTGGTATGTGGCCCTGCCCCTCCTGCAGACTGTCTGACATTTGTCTGCATTAAACTGCATTTTCCTTCTGGTGGCACAGCTACCTAAAACATCACTCCCTCTGAACCTGTTTGTGAACCTGGTTGCGTTGTTGTCCCTTACCTGTTGTGTCGAGAACTTTGGCCTCATCAGTTGTTTGTGGCCTTGCGTGTTTGACAGCCCAGATAACGCACTTGTGTTGTGAGCCAAATCCTAACCTGACCCCTGATGGCCCCTTTTTCGTGACAGTGGTTCCCCTTTGCAGCCACAGTTGATGAGCCCAAAATCCTTGCACCCGATGATTTCACTGTGATTGCCCAGAAAAGTGTGGCTTCAATTGTCCCGACAGCCCTTCTCTAAGGCCACTGCACTGCTGTCGTGTTTCAGTTCTAATTTTGGCTACACCTGTGCAGTGCCTGGAGCCCCTTCCAGCTGCAGCAGGGCTGCCAACAGGCAGGAAGTGACAGGCGCTCTGTTTGTACTCCTAGGAATGAAGTGACCAAGCTGAAATTTGAAGGGAAAACTTTCTATTTATACGTAAGTCAGAAAGAGGTGAGTGCTGGCATCCTTCTCTTCAGGGACACGGGGAGTGGGGTGCAAGCCTGGCTAAGGGGTCCAGGTAGATCCAAGCCACCTGTATGCTCAGCCAAGACCAAGGTCAAGACCTGGAGGTGAGGTACAGGGGGGCGGGAGGCTGAAGGTACCCAGGGGTTCCTACCAAGAGATCCCAACCCCTAGAAGAGAGATTCTTTTTCCACACATGGAAATTCCACACCCCACTTTCTCTTTCCTGGTTCAACCTGAGCTGGCTGAGGTGCACCAGGTGTGAGATGATGGCCAAACAGTTGCATCCCAGTGGGTCCGGCCGGCTAACTGTCCAACCACCTAGCCACTAGGGCCTCCACAGCCCTGGCATCTGTGACCTGGGCTGCTTCACCCTTCATATCATTGACCCCCCTCAGCCGTTTCATGTGAGATTTCTTTTTTCAGGAGAAGAAAATTATTCTCACCTATTTTGCACCAACTCCAGAAGCCTGCAAGCACCTCTGGAAATGTGGGATTGAGAACCAAGCCTTCTACAAGTAAGTGGACAACTCAAGACAGGGGCTGTCTTTAAGCAAGGAGTCAGTGACAGACTATTTTTAGAGGGAATAAGGGCAGGCAGACTTTAAGAAAGGAGATGAAATAACAAAGTGAGACTTTCAGCAAAACCCCAGGCTCCCGCCAGGCACACGCTGTGCCACTGGACGTACCCAGCCAAGGTCTGAGGACGAGTTTCAGCTGCAGAGAACGTCTGCCCAGGGGCAGAGAATTTCTGAGCCTTTGGGGGCAGGGGTTGGCCAGGAAAAGCCAGTGCACGCCCATGAAGAGTCCAGCTTCCCAATGAGGCCGTTCGGGTCTCTGGGAGGCCAGGACACAGCAGCCGCAGCCTTACTGGGTCAGCCTCCTGGTGAGTTGATGCAGAGCTGGGCTGAGCTGGTACCAACCCTCCCGGGTGGGTCACTACCAGGTGTCACCAGTGACAGCCCATGGGTCCAGGAGCCTGGGCTAGAATGGCTAGAAGCGGGAGAGGGACCAGGTGAGCAGAGCCCAGAACTTTGCTAACCAAAGGATTTGAATGGTTAGGCAGCTTTGGGTTTCTGTTCCCTTTAAAAAAGGGAGGCCAGTCAGCTGGGTGCTTTCTCCCTGTGGCTGAGTTGGATACCCACTGCCTACCAGCCCAGGGAGTAGTGGGTGCTTCCTTGCCATCTGTGCCATGTTTTCTTTGGAGCTGCTCTCGGAGCTGCTCACTGGCTCTCGGATCTTTCTGGGCAGTTCTGCCTAAGCTTCCTTGGCTAAGGAAGAGCTACTGAGATCAGGAGAGCCCCTAGAAGGGAGGTTTATGAGGCCCAGGACCTCCCAGAGTCTCCACATCAGCTGTGTGCAGCCCTTAGGGTGGGCTGGGTGGTACTCCTAGTGTAGTGATGGCAGTTTGTTGAAGCTAAGCTGCTCTCCACCCTGCAGGACTTGTCAGAGCCTTAACTGTAATGCTCTTTAGGACTGATCCTCCCAACAGGGAAATAGAATAGGAAGAGGGGTCCCCAATCCCTAGCTTCTCCTGCACCCATAATTCCTCATAGCCACAATCCTCAAATGCTAAGATTGGAACCAGCGGTCAAGCAGTCCCAGCTCCATCCTTTGATAAATAACAACACTGAGGCTGAGAGAGAGAGGCTCCCAAGGTCTCACAGCTGACAGGAGACAGGTGGCACTGTGAGCACCCCAGCATTTTGCCCTCACGACCGCGGGTGAACACCAACCCCCATGAGACATCCCTGGGGAGCGTCCCTTCTCCTCACATTGCGTGGGTTTCCACTGAGGATGGCTGGCTGTTAGCACAGTCCTAGGGTCCCTCATGGAAGTCGGGGACAAGTGTAAGACTGTCAGGCTTTTTCCTGAATGGGTCCCCCGATGGTCCTGGGGGGCGGTGCCTTGGCCTGGAGGAGGCCGTCTCAGACCCTCTTGCTCCGCTTCGCTGCAGGCTGGAGAAGTCAAGCCAAGTCCGCACGGTGTCAAGCAGCAACCTGTTCTTCAAGGGCAGCCGGTTCCGGTACAGGTCAGTGGCTGCCGTGAGTAACAAACCAGATCCACTGGCAAAGCCTTCTCTGCAGGACAGTCCCTCAGGGGTTCTGACCCTTGAAAACCAAGAGCGGGGAACTTAGGAGAAAAACATGAGGTTTCTGCCCAATTCACCTGTGGACTAACCCGGTCTATCCTTCCCTGCAGTTGTTTTTTGTGTCTTAGAGACATATCTCCTCCACCGAGGAGCAGCTAAATGAAAGCTGTCGGTGATTTTCTTCATGTCACTGTCTAAAAGTGGAGGCAGATATGTGTGAGAGATGTGACAGGACCAGGCTGGGCAGTGAGGACTCAATCCTCCATGAAAAGATCCCAAGGCACCCAGGGAGGGAGAGCCTCCAGGCTGTCATGACATTCTAGCACTCTCCTAGCGAGCCCTTTCCACTGACCACTGCAGTAGGAAGGCCAAAGAGGCCCGCGATCCCGCACAGATGCCCTGGCTCACTGCTTGCCACCTGTTTTTATTACACTACTTCCAGTGGGCGCGTTGCAAAGGAGGTTATGGAATCGAGTGCCAAGATCAAGCGGGAACCACCAGAAATACACAGGTAGGCTGCCAGGGGCCTTTCCCAAAACCACCCCAGCTTGGATCCCAGAACCTGAAAAGATGCAGAACTTTTTGAGTGTCGTGTAGCTCCTCGACATCGTGGCTGCCACGGGGCCAGAAGTGCAGGACTGGGGGAGGGAACCTTTCTCAGCCCGACTGGGGAGGCGTGGGGGAGAGAGCGCTGAGAGAATGAGGAAGGGCAGGTTACTACTTAGCACAGCAGCCCCAGGAGCCACCCTACGTACACATTCTCTTCTGCCTTCGCAAGCCTTGCCCCGGACACAACCCCTGCAAGATGTGCCCAAGCAGAGTATTTGGTTCTGGAATCAACCCATTACAGGAAGTCAGGGACAGACTCCCCGCCCTGCCAAGCCGTCTAAAATCGTTTCAGGAGCCACACTTTCCAGCAGCCTGTCCTGTAGAACTTGCAAAGACCTACAAAGAGTATGACTGGCCAGGAGGGCAAGGATGTGACTGCCAGCCCCAGGGTTGCAGGGGCACAAGCAGGGGCATTGTACAACCAGGAGTCCTCCCTGGGCAGCTTTGCCCTCTGGGACCACACTAAGGAGAAAGTCCCAGTGAGACTGATGCTTAAATGGAGTTGTTTGGGATGCAAAGACTAAAGATAAACAGAAGGAAGTAAATACTTCTTTTAAAAAGGTAGAAAATTCTGGTAGGCAGGACTCAACTCCAAGTGCTTACCACATTCGTCGGTATACCATTCACACTGTTCTTCGCCCTCAGAGCGGGGATGGTTCCCAGCCGCAGCTGTCCCTCCATCACGCACGGCCCAAGGCTGAGCAGCGTCCCCAGGACCCGCAGAAGGGCTGTCCACATCTCCATCATGGAAGGTGAGCCCAAGGTGGAGGGGGTGGCTGGGCCTCAGGGCGGGGCGAGGGGTGTGGAGGCAGGTACCCAGCTCACACCTGCTGTGTCCTGGGATGTGGGCCTGGAGAACAGGATGTTGGGTGAGCCCTGGGATTTGTGCACTGGCCTACCTAGGCTCCAGGCAGTGCTGACATGGCCTTCTACCAGGAGCTTCACTTGTTTTCCTGACCTAACTGATCTGCATGGCTCATGAACAGCACAGCCAAGACCGCTAACCAAGTGAGGACAACTTCAGTGGTAGGAAGCTGTCCTGGGGCGCTCAGCCTCACTTCAGTCAGGGGTAAGGAAACCCAGTGTACTCCTCACCCCCCACGTGGCCTGAGCATAGCATCTAACTAGGGCCAGCCTGGGGATTGAGAGCTCTGACAGGTGACCTCATGTGTGTATCCTAGCTGCTCCAGTGCAGAGTGGGGGTACCTCCACCTGCGCTGCGGGGAAGCCAATGTGTGAAGCGACACCCATTTAAGGAACGAAAGCACAGAACAGCGCCTGGGCAGGACGGCAGAGAGGAGGTGCTAACAGGAGCTCTGCCTGTGCTCTCGGGACAGCCGCTTCACTTTGCAGATCGGAACCAAGGCCTAGTTATTCCCCCAACCCTGTCCCAGTCCCTGGGTGCCACCTCCAAGTGACGTGACCTGGTTGAACTAGAGGACCGTGTGTGGCCCTCCCTGGCTGATGGCTCGAGAGTGGCCGGGGTTTCTCCTCTTACGGCAGCAGCATAATGGCCTTGCTCTCCATGGCCTTTCTTCCCATCCACATCAAGAGCACAGCCCACAGGTTCACCCTGAGGTCTACACACCCTGTGAGAGCCTGCAGCCCTTTTACGGGCCCCTGGCTGGGGCAGCATGACTTTTTATGGCTCAGTGTGCCTCTAATGGAATGCAGGCCCTGATAACGTGGGCCTTTTCTGGGCACGCCCTCTTTGCAGCTCAGCCTCATCTGAGGCCTGGGGAGCTGACCTTCCCTCTCTAGCGCGGGCATCCCAGCTCAGTTCCCCATCTTCTGCGTCTCCCCTGCGTAGCCGGCTTCCACCGAAGGTGGCCTGGTCTTCCTGGGCCACCATGGGGAAGACTCTGATTAAGATTCACACCAGAGTCCGGGTTCAGCTCCACTTGACCAACCACTGCCGTAGGCCCCTGAGAGTGCGGATCCTGCACATGGGGCCCCGGCTCCAGGGCAGGATCCTGACCCCAGTGGCCAGCAGCCCCCCAGGAGCCGCCTGGGGACAAGGGAGTCAACCGGAACATCTCCAAGGTAAAAGAGACTTGTGGTTCACTGTGCTGTGTAACCCCGTCCTTCCCACGGCACCCAGGCCACCCTTCCCTAATGGGTCTGACAAAGAGGCAGAGGGGATGGCGGTCTCTCTAGTAGTGGTGATTGGATCCCTTGTGTAGGACTAACCTGATGCAGAGGACAACCTTCAGGTGATGTTTTCTGTTGTGGGAGAAGGCTGTTACTGAGTGCTTCTACCCGCCTGGCATTCTACCGGGTTTGCTGAGAGCAGACACAGCTTACAACTGCACGCTCTTGGTGTCACAGTGCCTGCCACTCTCCAGCCCCAGAGAACACAGGACTTTGAAAGAGCACGCTAAGTTTGCACACAAGTGGCTCCTGCAACCTGACCTGGTCCTGCCTTGGAAGTCTTGGCCATCAGAGCTGTCCCTGAGGGGCCAGGCCTCTGAAGGGATCAAGTATCCACACAGTAGGGCAGAGGAGTGCTGAGGGAGGAGCCAGAGCAGCAATGAGCCAGGACTCATGCTTTAAGGTTTCTGTTTTGGCAGTAACACAGGCCAAGGCACACATTCCTACTGCTGCATATGCCGACAGGGACATTTGGCAACAGGCACAAGACTAGCAAGAGCTCGGGGAACAAGGACAGGGAACAGCATCTCTTTGATGTGATTTCATAAGCTTCTTGAGCAATTAGACTTACGTCTAAGGCGAGTGTAGGCTGCTTAGTGCCTCTAGACCAGTTCTGCTCCATCCCCTAGAATTTAACTATGAGATCCCAGAGAGGTGGGGATTCTGGCCTTCCCTGCCTTTGCTATTAATAACCAGCCATGTGACTTGGTAAGTTCTGCAACCGGTCACTCACCACTACACAGTTACTGAAAGATAAAATGAGAATCCTTTAAAGTTAGAAACTCACAACTTTAAGGTTTAGGCATGAAGCCAGCATTGTAGTAGTGAGGATTAAGCTCCTATGTACCATGCCAGTATCCCATACGGGTGCTGGTTCAAGCCCTAGCTGCTCTACTTCCAGTGCAGCTCCTACTAATGTACTTTGTAAAGCAGCAGCACATGACCCGATGCTTGGGCCCCTGCACCCACACGGAGATCCAGATGAGGCCCCAGGCTTGTCCATTACAGCCATCTAGGGAGTCCACCAATGGTGGGATGATCTCCCCACTCAACCCCAATTCTGACTTTCAAGTAAGTAATGGTTAAAAAAAAAAACAAAACACAAAACAAAGGACAGGGATAGGCAGTTCCAGTGGACTAGGGACCTGCCAGGGCCCTAGCTCCCACCTCACTGGCAGAGCCTTCACTGGGCCTGTGCTAGGGCAGCTCTGCCAGGCAGACAGGCAGGCAAGCAAGCGGCTGGGTACAGATGGCCAGGCCCCAAGGGAGCAGAGGAAGGTGAATCTAACTGTGAGAGTTTACTGACACTATTTTAAAAGACCTTTGCGCTTCTGGAGCTAGCTCTGAACTGGACAACTCCCCGATCACCCCAGTAAGAGCAAACCTTTACCGAGCTGAGAACTGAGTTCAGGACTGCCAGGGTCTCCTGCAGGGCAGAATCAGACTGGCCTTTCTTGTCACGGCTGCACAGGCTGGGAGAGCCACATGGGCTAGATGCTGAACCTGAAACAAGCAGGCGTCACCCTGGGGGCTATGCAACGTGAACGGCATTTGGGGCCTGCCAGGCAGCTATTTGAGGGCAGAATTCTTCCTATTTTTCTCTGCCAGGGAGAGAAATGTTCCATCTAAGAAAAGAGAGGAGTCATTTTGGGGGCCCTCACCAATGTGAGAGGCTCTGTCTCCCCACCTCCAGAACAAGACTGACCTGGGTACTCTCAGCCTGTTCTGAACCTGCCCCTTCTGCAGGGTAGAGTCGGTGGCTAGGAACTGTCGCCTGGGGCAGTGGGAAGCACTTGGGAGGAGCAGGCAGCTCTCCAGCATCCCACATGGTCAGGACAGCTCGAAGCAGGAGGTCAAAGAGACTGACAGCAGCTGCAAGCCAGAGGGCCAGGCACCTGAGCTCAAGACCCCCTCACTAACATGGCGAAGCCCAATCAGGCCAGCACACAAGTGTCCCCATCCCTGCCTCTCAAGCTCCTCCAGTAAGTCAGGACCCTGGATCAGGATCAGGATCAGTGTGCAAATCGGGGTTAAAACCAGGCCCAGGACATCACTGGCAGAAAAGGTAGAATTTTTACGAGTGAGGCCAAAGCTGCAGGCAAAAACAAAGCCACTCTAAATCACTCACTGTTTGCTGCTGCTCCTCCAGTCCTATTCGTGATGGATCTAAACAGAGCACAGTGGCCCCTGCTGCTAGGGGGCAGTGGGGGTACGCAAAGGGGATACCCAACAAAACAGCCTGGGAGCTCCTAGACAGCGCAGGGCGTGCTGGGACCCAGGAAGCCTACTCATGGTCCTTTTGCTCCTCCAGGCCTTGAGTCCCTACGGGACAGTGCCCACTCCACACCAGTGCGTTCCTCTTCCCACGGGGACACCTTCCTGCCTCATGTGAGAAGTAGCCGGGCGGACAGCAACGAGCGGGTAGCCGTGATCGCAGACGAGGCCTACAGCCCTGCGGAGAGTGTGCTGCCCACCCCCGTGGCCGAACACAGCCTGGAGCTGCTGCTGCTCTCCCGGCAGATCAACGGAGCCACCTGCAGCATCGAGGAGGAGAAGGAGTCCGAGGCCAGCACACCGAGCGCCACAGAGGTGGAGTCCCTCGGAGGAGAGCTGAGGGCCCTGTGCCAGGGGCACGGCGGGCAGGAGGAGGAACAGGTGAATAAGTTTGTTTTAAGTGTCCTCCGTTTGCTCCTTGTGACCATGGGACTCCTCTTTGTTTTGCTCCTCCTCCTGATCATCCTTACCGAGTCTGACCTTGACATTGCCTTTTTCCGTGATATCCGCCAGACTCCCGAGTTTGAACAATTCCACTATCAATACTTTTGTCCCCTCAGGCGATGGTTTGCCTGCAAAATCCGCTCTGTGGTGAGTCTGCTCATTGACACCTGAGAAGGCATGACTCCTCCCAAAAACTAGCCAGGTGGACCCAGGAGCCCGGCTACCCGTTCCCAGCAAGGGGACCCATCGCGGAACCATCGGCACACACACCAAGTCCTCTCATGACTGAGTCCACTGCAGCCTAGGAGGGTTACTGCCCAGAAGAGGAAAGGGATAGGCTCACAAACTGTCAAACCGACTGGGGAAACTCAGTTTCTGCAGTGTCTTTCAAGAAAAGGCTCAGCAGTTCTGGTTCTCATCCCTTCGATTTGCCAGAATAACTGGTTTTGAATTTTTGTTTTTTCATAGATGTGTATTATTTTGGAAGTATCAAATAAAATAATTTATTTTGCTATTACTGGTGATCACAGAAGTGTCACCTTGCAGGTGGGACTCAAGCTGGACACTAGAGAGCCTGGTCCTGGGGCACCTGGAGCTGCAGCCTCTGCGGAGCCACCGGGGGCCTGGACACTGGGAAGGCTGAACTATTCCAACAGTCTGCATCTGTCCATGTAGAATGATTAAATGGAAAATTGCTTGTTGTGATGGTCTGGGTTGGATTTTCTTCTCCTTTTTTCAAATCTGAGCAGAGTGGGCACCTGCAGGCACCACCGCTGCAGCAGCAACAGGGCTGGGTCAGTCTGTCCCCTTAGACTAGAGCATAGTGGCCATCACAATGTGTTTTACAATGAACTTACACTTCTGTGATTTTTCTTTTCTGAAGAACCTCAAGACTTTTACAGTGCTCCAAGGGTTAGACAGATTCAGTGGTGCCAGCGACTGGGCTGCTGGACAGAGCGAAGCTAGCAGGAAGCAGGGCTGTCAGCTGACCGCAGATTCATAGAGCAGTGCTTATTTTGTAAACAACACTCCTTCCCCTTGCAAAAAAGACTTTCAATTTATATTTTAACAAAATATTATTTTCTTATCAATTCATATTTTGTTCTTACTTTATGGATTAAGAAAATAGAGCCTGTTGAACTTAACAATGCAAGAAAGAAACTGATCCTAAGAGTGAAAAGCTCCAGAAAATTGAATTCTCTGATCAACTAGCAGCCTTGGAAGTGACCAGGGAAAGACTCTCCTTAACCAGGATGTCTGAGATGGCAACAGAAGACAGTGTGGCTGAGACTGACCCATAGATGCAGGGATGCTACCCCTACGTCATCCCTGCTGAGTGGCATGGCAACAGACAGAAGCTGGGGTGTGGGGCGCTGAGTGGGAGCTCCCAGCCCTGTTTCCCTCTCAGGGAGCGATTCCTTATGTCATCTGGGGCCTGAGGATTTACTTCAGGATGGTCAGGGGCACATTCCCAAGATCCACACAGGAGTGGAGCAGCTGCTGACACCCCAGAGGGCAGAAGAGCACGAGTGTCTTGTAGATTTTGTCTCCTGAGACAGACAGCAGAGCCAGTCTATGTGGAATACATAGTACCTGTGGAATAGTCAGGGAGAGGGGGAGGATTTGCACGTTTTAAAGAAGCCTTTCGTCTGGACCAGAGGTCAGCCAACTCTGTAGAAGTACCAGAGTAACTACTTCCTTACTTTGGTTTTGCTGGCCATCCTCTGTCACAAATACTCAACTCTGCCATCATAGCACAAAACCGGCCGTAGATGATATGTAAATGAAAGATCACGGCTGTGTTCCAATAAACTTTACATAATCAGAAAATGAGCTGAGACTGGCCTGCAGACCATAACTAAATAATGAAACTGGTCCTTGCCAGTAAGGCAGAAGAGGGTCAGCTCAACTTCCCGGGCCGTGGGAAAGCTCCAGGACCACTCCTCAGAGGAGCCACTGGAGTTGCTTGTTTAAAGGGTGCTCAACCAACCAATCAACCAGCAAAGAGCTGTCTGACGCCAAGAGGAGCAAGACCAAGCACCGGAACGCTAACATGTGACCAAACTGAAGAAGGCAAGAGTCTGATCATTTCCATACCAGCAAAAATTGGGCAGAATTACAAACATCTACTGACCAAGTGACAGAGCAAACCGAGAGAGATCCTGGTCAAGATGAGGGATCACTCAAAATCAACTAGCCACTGCCACTTGTCATCAACGTAGCAAAGGCTTGATTTCACACAGGGCTAAGGTAAAAGACCCAGAGCAGAGAAGGCTGTCAGGAGCCAGGGGGCTGGTGTTAACCTGGACACTTACTTGTCTTATGCAACATAGCAGATTACTTTTTAGTGTAGTGCTCCTACCTCAGTCTGTAGAATACGGTGTTTCTATGCAGTGAGCGACAGCCTCGACTCCGACCTTTCATATTCACCACAGGGAGAGACGTGGCGTCCCATTTCCTGGTGTGTTACTTGTGTCTAGAGTTCCAGCAGTACAGTTGTCCGTACCATTCCCAACAGCTCAGTGTTGCTCTCTGAACAGAAGCTTTCAGATTTCCTTCCAGGATGTAATCCCAGAAAATACAGACAGAAAAGTTTCCTTCAATTTGCTTTCAAATAGTGTTTAAATAACAAAACCTTCTCTGTTCGTACCTCCCCATCATTAAAAATTGTTCAAGTTTTTAATGGCTTTACTATGTTCTACTATGTTTCTTGTTCTCTGAAAAATTAGTTTTATCTCATTGTAGAAAAAGCAATGATTTTCACACTTCGTCTTTCAGAATAAACTTACTAAATAGTGTACTGCGTCTTTAAGCAGTGAAGGGTTAAACTACCTGAAAATGTGAATTTCTTAGTTTCATTAAAAATGTAGTTGTTAACCTTCCATGTGCCAAAATCTTTGAGTTACATTTTCCTTCAAAACAATGTACTTTTTTTTCTACATATGCAGTATGTAGTTAGCATAAAATCACTGGTGCCATGAAGATTATTTTTAAACTTAAATAAATATTTACATATCATGGAAGAGTGGACTCTTTTTTAAAATTTATATCTGTGTCGTTTTCCCCCTGTTTAAAAACACCAACACAGGGATAAAAGGAGATCTGTGCAGTCTATACAGCTGACTATTCCTGACAGGGATCACAGAAAATAACCATTGTGCTTCTATCTGTGGATTCTCCTTCCTGCCTCCCCCTCCCCAATAAATACTATTAGAAACTGAGAAGCTGTACACGTGGAATAACCTGGAGCTCTGCTGGGACCCGTTTTCCTGGTGAGAAAAGCCCAGAGGGTCGCGTGCAGCTCACAGAGCAGTGCTGTGCCGGCAGGAAGGGCCTACCTCTTTCCTCTGGGACCCTAAGCTCCTTGCTTTGTCTCTGATAAAAGAAACTCAAGGCCAGAGCAATCACACAGGACTCGGGCAAGTCGCATGCAATCCCTAAGCATCTGCATTCTCTGCTAGTCTGACCAACTGTGTGTAGCACCCCCAAAAGGAGGACTAGCTGTTACTTTCCTGAGGTCATCTATCGAAAGGCTGGGCACCACAAAGCCAAACTCACCTCCTGTGCTCCAGAGATGCCAGGCAGGCCAAACTTCCAGAAGAGGCTTATCCCAAAGGGAGGGTGCAGTCGTGTCACACAGCCTAGTGAAAGCCTCATTGGAGTCCCTAGGAGAGGTGTCTTTCAATACAGATCACAGTTTAAGATTGTCCTAAGGGAAACCATTGTCCTTTATATACTTTCTAGATTTAGACAATTACTCCATCATAAAGCTTATCACCAAGAAACAAGTTCCTGCTCATTCTCCTTCCTTCCTGCATTGCCTCAAAAAAATATAACTCTATTAAGTAAAACCAGATTTAGAGAGAACAGCCATATGGAGCTTAATAGCAAAAAACAAACAAAAAAAGAAACATCAAGAAGCCGTTAACATTTATTGCAGAGGCCAAGGAGTTATCACCAAGTATTCATAGCTTAAACAATGAAACTAATTCAGAGTAGCTTTCAACTTTATTTAAAAACAAAAGTGCACCTGCAACCAGGCACTCTCGAACCCATGACATGAACTGCGGTGTGACGGGGGCCTAAAACCGCCTTCACCATTTCCCCAACAGCTGACATGTAACTCAGCCTCATTTATCTTTACTTTCCTTGGTCACATCATCAGTTAATGTTGCCTCTCACTTACCAATTTCTCTACTGTAGCACCCATCGTCTTCCTTACAGACACCCACACAACCAATTCTTAAACCAGACGTCAAACGCTTCAAGATTAATTATTTAGGAAAACAGTACTCTTCAAGGAAATTACATATCACTTTATTTCTGTCATACAGAATTATGAGAACATTCGTTCTCGGAATAGCTGAAGCTACCTACAAGTATTTCAGTAGTAGTTTGCAATAAACAATAAAAAACGCTGGATAGAAGTTAAATTAATAGCAGGTGCCCTCCCCCAAACAGACAACTGAACTTACCACAGTTTTTAAAAAGAAAACATTTTTAAAAAGAAATGCCAAAAGTGATGTAACACTTCCCTCAAATACGAGCAGGAATGAAGGTCTAAACTTAACAGGCTACTGAATTTGCTCTGCAGATTTTCAAGATAGGTTGTCTAGGACAGACACTGGAAGGCAGGAGGTTTCACTTCTCTATGACTCACTGTACCGCAGCAATTTAAAAATATGTATTTTGGAGCCAAACCTGTGGGTAAAATCGATGTCTGGCACAAGCATCCCATATAGGTGCTGTTTCAAGTTCTAACTATTCCACTTCCATTCTGACTTCCCGATAGTGCACCTCAGAAAGCTGAGAACGGGCCGAGGTCACAGACCCTACACTCACGTGGGAGGTCTGGAAGAAGCTCCTGGTCCCTGGTTTCAGAATGGCTTAGCTCTGGCCATTGAACCATTTGGGAAGTGAACCAGCAAATGGAAGACTTCAGGGTTTATCTCTCCTTCTCTATAACTTTGCCTTTCAAATGAGTAAATAAATCTTTTAAAGAAAATATATTTTATACCAGAATATACATAAACTTATATGCTTACAAATATACATATGTAATTAAGTTTTCCAAAATATGTATGCTTTTTGTTCCTTACTATTTTTTTTTTTGTTTTAGCTTTTTAAACACTAGCCATGACCATGAGAGTTACAACACCAGTCGGGGACCCTCTTACACTGGCACAAAGGGATTGTGGCAGACAGTCTGTGCCAGGGTAGGGACTGCCTGCCTGGCCTCAGAGCGGCTCTGCATGCATGGATGCAGCCTGCCCTGGCAAGCCAGAGTTCCTGGGAATTAATTAGTGGAAAAGTTCAGTTTGAGGTGCCAGCACATAGGTCTCATGGATTTAAAAAAAAAAAAATGTTTCAAAGTCACTCAATTATACCGTTCAGGACTATGAATCTAGAAATAAATGTTCTGAATTATAAAATAAATCACGAGTTCATATCACTATAGAATGACAGCTATATCATCAATCACAGAAACTTCTAATGATGACGATGTAAAGGCTTATAATTTCATCCCGAATGAGCAGCAGGACTTCCAGTACCAAAACTACTCCATTCGGGTCATGAATTTCACATACGCCCTCATTGTCCGGTAGAAAAGCTCCTATGATGTTCCCTTGTTAACAAGTCTTACGAATATAGCAATTTCCTAAATACATCCTCTTGCCAAGTATAAACATTAAGTAACATGAGCCACTGGGTCCCTTAGTTCCAGTGTGAACCAATTAGTCTTCCTAAACCAGAAACCTCAGCAACTTGCTTAGTCCATGAAAACATGTACCTTCCCACTGGAATTCCCTCCAGCCAAAATATACCGCGTCGGGTGCATGGCGTTGATGGAGCACACAGAGGCAAGGCACTCCCCACCAAAAAAAGAATGGACACTCTTTCCTGTCTCGTGAAAGACTTCTACCCGTCGTGGATGGGCCATGCTGCCAACTATGAAGCAATCTTCTTGTTTAGGATCCCACACGGCCTGGAACCTTGTCAGCCATCGCCCAGTGATAGTGTTGTGCCTGGTGGGGACCAAACAAGAAAATTTTAAAAGTAAATGTTCAATGACTCTAGGTATCATTTGACTGAGGGTAAGGAACAGCATTGCTCCCAAGTGCTGGTTTTCTCTAACAAGTTTCTCCTCCTTCAGCTCCTGAATTCTCACTGACTTTATCTCACCCTCCCCACACTGGCAGACGTGTCTTCGTTATCTCTCTTTGTCGGGCACTGAGCTGGGTGCTTCCTGCTGCAAAAGTGCTCTGTTTTGCTGCCCATGCTAGCTCAGTTGAATATATGTGAAATTTTTTTTTTAGTGGGAAATTCTACTTTCTGCTATTAGCATTCCCCTCATACCCAAACATGAAACCATTTTATATCCCATACAGCTTTGAAAAAAATCAATGCATTTAGAGTCTAAGGGGGACTAGAGAACCACAAGAGAAATTAGAAAGCACCTGGAGACAAATGAGAATGAAAGCACAACAAAATCTATGGGATGTGAGTTATGGTAAGAAAACAGTTTAGAGGAGTAACTACATTTTCAAAATCAGCAACCTAAATGTGCATCTCAAGGAACCAGGAAAAGAACTAAAACGGAAGTTAGCAGAAGGAATATGGAAGTAAACATTAGTAGAGAAACAAATGAAGCAAGCACAAAAAAAATAGGGAAAAAAAGTCTTCATTTGTTCATTTGTTATAGTTGTTTTTGTTAGAAAGACTATTTTTAGCGTAAGATAAAAAGAGGGGCCGGCATTGTGCTTCAGCAGGTTCACTCACTGTCTGCAACACCCAGCATCCCATATGGGCACTGGTTCCAGTCCCAGCTGCTCCACTTCTGATCCAGCTCCCTTTACCGCATCTAGGAAAGCAGCGGAATATGGACCCTTTGTGTCTACATGGTGGACCCAGTGGGGGAACCATGCACCCGACTCTGGCCTGGCCCAGCCCTGACCATTGCAGCCGTTTGCTGAACCAGCACCTGAAAGATACTCTCCTTCTCTCTCTGATACTATCTTATAAATAAATCTTAAAAAGAGAAAACTAAACAACAAAGGGATGAATATAACTGATACCAAAACTAAGGATTATGAAAGAACGAAAAATCTACAAGAAATTTTTTCCTAGAAATACACAAATCTATCAAGACTTACTTATGAAGAAATAAAAAACAGACTTTAATAAGGAGATTGAAGCAATGACAAAAATCCCCCAACAAAGAATACCCAGGACCTGATGCAGTCAAAAGAGTTTTACTAAATACTTTAACACTAATGTGGCCAGCACAATGGCTTGACTAATTCTCCTCCCAAGAGCAGCATCCCATTTGGGTGTTTAAGTCCCTGCTGTTCCACTTCCCATGCAGGTCCCTGCTTGCACCCTGGAAAAGCAATGGAGGACGGCCCGAAGCCTTTGGAGCCACACACCCACATAGGAGACCCAGAAGAGGCTCCTGGCTTCGGGTTGGCTTCACTCTAGCCATTGACACCATTTGGGGAGTGTCCCAGTGGATGGAAGATCTCTGTCTCTCCCTCTCCATAATTCTGCCTTTCCAATAAAAATAAATAAATCTTGTAAAAAATTAATTAACACCAATACTCCTTAACCTCTTGAAGAGGAAACTTACCCCAATTCATCCTGAGGCCAGCATAACCCTGATACCAAAAGCAGGCAGAGATACAATAAAAACTATAAACTGACATTCTTGGTGAACACTGATGCAAAAATCCTCAATAAACAGGACATTAAAAGGTTCACACATCATAACCAAATGGAGTGTCAGGATGGTTCAACATAACAAAAATCAGTGTCATAGACCACATAACAGAATGAAGGACAAAGTACATGATCATCTCAGGTGACGCAGAAAAAGTACCTGACAAAATTCAATGCCTCTTCCTGATAAACACACAGTTAGAAAGAAACCATCTCCACATCACAGAGCCAATATATCCAAAGCCCACAGCTAACACATTCAATGGTGAAAGACTGTGAGCTTTGCCTCTAAGACCAAAAACAAAGCAAAGCTACCCATCTTTACTACTCTGACATTGCACTGGAAGTCCAAGCCAGGGCAGCCACACAAGAAAAAAAGGTATCCGAATTATCCGAATGAAGAAGCCATGCCTTCAGATATCATAATGTGCTGTGTAGAACTCTAAAAACTTCAAATAAAAGAAAAAAACTCGTAAGTAATTTCAATAAATTTGTAAAGACAGAATCAAAATACAAAATTAGCTTTTCCTTTAAAAAAAAAGTTTTATTTTTGTTTAAAAAGATTTTTGGGCCCTGGTGTAGTGGTCTAGCGACTAAAGTCCTCGCCTTACATGTGCAAGGATCCCATTTGGGCACTGATTCATATCCTGGAGGCATCTCCACTTCCCATCCAGCTTCCTGCTTGTGGCCTGGAAAAGCAGTCCAAGATGGCCCAAAGCCTTGGAACCCTGACCGCATGGGAGACCCAGAGGAAGCTCCAGGCTCCTGGCTTCAGATTGGCTCAGTTCTGGCTGTTGTGGCCACTTGGGGAGTGAACCAGCAGAAAGATCTTTTTCTGTCTCTCCTTCAGTCTGTATGTCTGCCTTTCCAAGAAAATAAATAAATCTTTAAAATAAATTAAAATTAAAAAGTAATTTTGCAGAGAGGGGAGCAAAATCTCTCATCTATCAATTCACTCCACAAATGGCTGCATTGAAGAGAGCAAAGCTGATCCAAAGCTGGGAGCCAGTAGCTTCTTCCAGTTCCCCCACATGGATGCAGGTGGGGAACGCATGTCCAAGGTTTTAGGTCATTCTTTACTACTTTTCTAGGCCCTAACTAAGCAAGGAGCCGGGTCAGAAGTACAGCAGCTGGGACATGGACCCAGCCCATAAGGGATGCTGGCACTTCAAGCATACGATTAGCCTGATATGCCACCACATCACCCCCAGCTGTGTTTCTATCATTAAAGATGACCCACCATAAAAGAAATTAAGGGACAGCCATTGCGGCTTGGGGGTGAGGTCACTATCTTTCATGCAGGCATCTCATAGGGCATTGGTACTGTCTCAGCTGCTCTACTTCCAATTCAGCAACCTGCTAATGGCCAGGGAAAGACAGCAGAAAATGGCTGAAGTGTCTGTCTGGGCCCCACTGCATACCTGGAAGACCCAGATGAAGCTCCTGGCTTCAGCCTGACTCAGCCCTGGCCACTGCAGTCATCTGGGGAATGAACCAGTAGACAAAAAAATATCTGTCCTACCCTCTCTTTGCAACTCCTAATTTCAAAATTAATAATTTTTATACACAAACTCCTCCCCTCCCAAAAAAAAGAGGAAATTAAGGGGCTGGTGTGTGATAAATTACTACATAAGCTATCACTTGCAATACTGGCATTCCATATCAGCACGGCAGGTCCAAGTCCCAGATACTGCTAACATGCCAGGGAAGGCAGCAGCAAATAGCTTGAATACCCCTGCATGGCAGGGTACACCCATGTCGGGGGGCCTTGATGGAGACCCTGGTTCCTGCATGGTCCTGGCCTGGCAGCTGCAGGCACCTAGGAACTGAACCAGCTGACTGAAGAGTGCTCTCTCACTCCTACTCTTTTGTTCTACTTTGCAAATAAATAAATCTTTTTTTAATTTAAAAAAATGCTATTTCCATAGCATTTCTAGCATTTGAATATGGTTTGGCCCAAAATTCATGCAGAGGTTTAAACCCCAAAGTCTTAAGTCGTGAGTTACTGATTGTACCTCCTCAGTTGCTGGTGCCTGTGCAGTGGACAGCATCCCCAGATGAGGGACATGTCAGCAGCTCACGGAGGCCAGCCAGGAACCTTGACTGTCTCATCAGAGGGTGGAAAGCAGAACAAGTTGGACGGCTCTCCTGGCTAAGCTTTTTGCAACATGTTCTAGATCTGTGGATGCACTAAAATGGACCTGGTCAGTCAACGGACCTTGAAAAGATTTTCTCAGCCCTGGTGCAACCAAGCCAACAATATCTCAGAACTAATAAAACCACTCAAATAATACCAGCAGAACACCCTTCCGCATGTCAGGGTCTCCAAGGTATCATCAAATGACCATCCCCCACCATGAAGTGCAGACACAGTCTGACAGCAAGGAGCAGCCCTTGTCCCCTCCTCCCCTTCAGACACAAGAGGGATAAAACCTGAAACATTTGTCCCATCCACCTTCTTCCATACCTCGACCCAGCTACCCTAATCACAGGTCCACATAGGTATGCATCCCTCTTAACTGTATGAACAATATTAAAAACAAAATTTAAAAATAAGTTAATGACACAGGACATGTGCCATGACCTAGCACATAAAACTTCTGCATGTGGTGCCAGAATCCCATACGGGCGCCATATCAAGTCCTGGCTTCTGATCCAGATCCCTCCTAATGAGCCTGGGAGAACAGCAGAAGATGGTCCAAGTCCTTTGTCCTCTGCACCCATGTAGGAGATCTAGAAGAATCTTTAGGCTCCCGGCTTCTGACCAGCGTAGCTCTGGCTATTGCAGCCATTTAGGGGAGTGAACCAGTAAATGGAAGATCTCAATCTCTCCCTCTCTGTAATTCAGCCTTTAGAATTGTAAGATAATGGCACTAAGAGGATGGAAAGTTATCCCAACCTTGGAGTGTAGGAGGTAGAGGCCAGTGCGTGCTCTCTGACATAACCGGGGGCGAGTGCTCAGAAGGCAGCTCTCAAGGGACTTATTAGAAGATGATTATGTTAGCCTGCACTTGGCCCATGCTCGCTCTGCTGCCTAGCTCTCCATGTGACCCTTCCTCCATACACACTCCACCACTGCCATCCACTGCCCTCACCAAACACCCAACCGGTGGGGACACTCCATCTTGAACTAAATAAACTGCACTTTTCTTTCCTAAGTACCCTGTCTCAGAAACTCTGCTTTGATTACTATCAAAAGCGGAATAATACAAGCTTCAAAAATATGGGAGAATAAAATAAAATATGGGGAGATAAACCAAAGAGATGAAAAGCTTCTGCTCTTAAAACTACAAAATATTGCTAAAAGTCAAAGATATAAATAAATGGAAAGACGTCCTAGACTTACAGAAGGATGTAATGCTGTTAAAATGTCCGTACTATTGAAAGCAATCTATAGCTTCAATGCACTCTGTATCATTCTACCAATGACAGTTTCAACAGAAATAGGAAAAACAATACTAACATTCATATGGAACCACAAGCAGCCCAACACTCACAGTCATCTTGAACAAAATAACAGGGGTAGGTGTCACAGTGCAGTGGCTTAGGTACAGTACTAGTTTGAGTCCCAGCTACACAGCCCCCAACCTGGCTCACTGCCAAAACAGCAGACGATGGCTCAAATACTTGAGTCCCTGCCACCATACGGGAGACCTAAGTGGACTCTGTCATTACTCGCTTTGGCCTGGCCGTTTTTCCCTAATGAATGGGTTAATCCACTGATGGTTAAATACGTTATTAAGATAACTTTTTTGTTATGAAAATCAGGCAACACTCCTGCTATGTGATGATTTTAATGAGGTTCCCTCACTAAATCATGAGCACACACCAGTGTCAAGCCCTTTAGAGTACCAGCTTCCCGAGCTGGGAGCTGAATGCAGAAGCTCCCCAGTATCTGTTCTCCGTGGATTACCCAGTGTGTGGCACTCAGCTACAGCTCAGAAAATAGAGTAAGAAATAAAGAACCGCAGGAAGGAAAGGTTTAAGAACATGAAGCAACTTGGTAACATACTTTAAAATACACTAAAGAGGAGTGAAGGAAATTTAGAAATGAGGACAAAAACATCAACATCTGAACAACAACAACAAAAAAGAAAACTAGACAATGTCTTGGAATTTTTTTTTTTTTTTACTACTTCAATATTCAGCTAACAGTTCAAGAAAATGAAGGATAAATCATTAGAGTAATAACATTAGAAAGCTTCTTAAAAGTGAAGTGACCAGTTTCCCATGTGAGCACTAGGTTCAGGTCCTGGCTGCTCAGCTTCTGGTCTAGATCCCTACAAATGTACTTGGCAAAGCCGCACAGGCTGGCCTGAGTGCTCAGGGCCCTGTTACTCCCGTGGACCCAGAACAAGCTTGCAGCCTGACCAAGCCCCACCCAGTGAAACTATGCAGGTCTATCCATTCTAGCTTTAAAATAAAGGAATCGTGGGCCCAGCACCAAGGCCTAGGTTCAGCCTCCACCTGTAACACTTGAATCCCATATGGGAACTGTTTTAAGTCTCACCTGTTCCACTTCCGATCCAGCTGCTTGCTGCAGTGCCTGGGGAAAGTACAAAATGGCTCAGGTCCTTGGACCCCTGCACCCACCTAGGAAGCCAGAGAACCTCCAGGTTTCTGGCTTGGGAAAGGCCCAGATTGTTTTTTTTTTTAAGATTTATTTATTTTTATTAAAAAGTTAAATATACAGAGGAGAGGAGAGAGAGGAAGATCTTCCATCTGATGATTCACTCCCTCAAGTGACTGCAACAGCCGGTGCTGCACCAATTCAAAGCCAGGAACCAGGAACCTCATCCGGATCTCCAACGAGGGTGCAGGGTCCCAAAGTTTTGGGCCGTCCTCAACTGCTTTCCCAGGCCACAGGCAGTGAGCTGGATGGGAAAGTGGAGCTGCTGGGATTAGAACTGGCACCCATATGGGATCCCAGTGCATTCAAGGCGAGGACTTTAGCCACTAGGCCATGCCGCCAAAGGCCCAGTTTTAATCATTGTGGCCACTTGCGGATTAAACCAATAGTGGAAGCTTCTACTGTCTCTCCTTCCCACTCTGTAAATTTGCCTTTCAAATAAAAAATAAATCTTCACAAAAAAAAAAAAATGAGAGAGAGAGTTGGAGGAGAAAATGATGGTTCAATTGGCTAAGCCTCAGCCTACAAGTGTTGGCTTCCCAAAGGGGTAGAGGTTCATGCCCCAGCTGCTCCATTTCCCATCCAGCTCTCTGCGTATAGCCTGGGGGGAAAGCAGTGCAGGATGGCCTAATAGGAACCCTGCATCCACATGAGAGCTCCAGAGGCTCCTGCCTCCTAGCCTTGAATCAGCTCAACTTCAGCCATTACGACCATATGGGGAGTGAACCAGCAGATGGAAGATCTTTGTCTCTCCTCTACCTAAGTCTGCCCTTCTAACTTAAAAAAAATATATATATATATTACATTGTAAAACATAATTACTACAGTTACAACAATGTATCAATGAAAATCACTGAGGCAGGGCCCGGCATGGTAGCCTGGTGGCTAACGTCCTCACCTTGAATGTGCCAGGATCCCATATAGATGTCAGTTCTAATCCCAGCGGCCCTGCTTCCCATCTAGCTTCCTGCTTGTGGCCTGGGAAAGCAGTGGAGGATGGCCCCAAGGCCTTGGGACCCTGCACCCGCGTGGCAGACCTGGAAGAGGCTCCTGGTTTTGGCTCAGCTCAGCTCCAGCTGTTGCACTCACTTGGGGAGTGAATCAGCAGACAGAAGATCTTCCTTTCTGTCTCTCCTCCTCTCTGTACATCTGACTTTCCAATAAAAATAAATCTTTTTTTAAAAAAAAAATCACTAAGGCAAAAGATTTTTAAATGTTCTCATCACAAAAAAATAATGGTAGGCATGTGACATAACATATGTCAGTTGGCCCATTTTAGCTACTCAACAATGTATACATATTTGAAAACAATATGGACTGCACAATACAGATTTTTATTTGTCAAATAAACTGTTGATATGAAAAATAAAGAACTGAAAAACTAAAGTGTGGATAGCCCTAAAAAAATTCTGAGAAAGGAAACAAACATACCAAAGAAGAAATGCAGTCTCTACAAATTGTAAACTTGTAAAGAGTTAATATACATTACACATTCCATCCCCAATTTCATCAATACTGATAAAGAGGAGTATCTAGAAGGTATTGGGTTACATTTGATGTAAAATAGATCCACACATTTGAACTAGCAGTTGAACTAGCAGCTGCAAGAAGAAAGTACTCAAACAAACAAACAAACAAACGAAAAGACACTGGGGAAGCCCCTTAGGACCAGAATAAACAACTTTAGATAACCTCATGAGCAAGTGACTAGTAACTGTCCTCTTTAATAAGGTAACAGGAGTAATTCAGGTCAGAATAAAGTCATTAACCTTAACCAAAAATATCCCCCACCTGCAGAGAACAGCGACAGACTAGAAGTTTGAAGCTCTTTATAGACACAAGAACCTGAATAGGAGCTGCAAACCGGGGCACTTACACAATGTGTAAGGAAAGCAAGCCTGCTGCACCCCCTGCGCATCAGCCTCACCTCTGCCCTCCCACAAGGCTCTGCGTCCTCCAGCCCGCGGACCTTACCTGACGGTGCTGAGCAGCGGCATCCGGGAGCACACAGAGCTGCTGTCAAAGACCCTGCAAGACAGCAACCAGGTGAGAGCAGCACTCACTCCACTGTCTCTGACAGAATGCTTGAAATAACATCAGGACTGACCCAGGTTCTCATGGGTTCATTCTATGAAAAAGGATTAACTTAAAATACATAGGCTTGGGCTCTAATAAACTTCAACTAATAAAGCTATAAAGACTGTTAAAATACACTGCTTAAAGTTAAATGTGGGAATAATTTATCTACATACTTTGACTCCAAAGTTTAAAAAGTATATTCTAAAGTGTTTGGGTGGGCTTAAAGTTATATTCAGATTCACAGAATGAAACAAACAAGAAATTAAATTTAAACGTGCACAGGTTATCTAAAAGTGTACACATGTAGCAAGAGCAGTCCCCTTGAGACTCATTTGATCCGAACTTCATTTCCAGGTATTGGTAAGACTAGCCAACAACCAGCATGGATGTGAGGAGAAAGACACCCTCCTTCACTGCTGGTGGGAGCGAAGGCTAGTACAACCACTGTGGAAATCAGTGTGGAGAGTGCTTGGAAAATTGCAAATAAACCAGCTATCCTGCTCCTAGAAATATACCCAATAGAAATGAAATCGGCATATGAGAAGGGGATCTGTAATCCTATATTTATAGCAGCACAATCTACAATAGCAAAGATATGGAAACAATCCAGATGTGCATCCAAGGAAGAGTGGTTAAAGAAACTGTGGTACATCTACTCCATGGAATATTACTCTGCTATTAAGAAGAATGAAATTATTTTATTTACAACCAGGTGGTCTCAACTAGAGACCATTATGTTCAGTGAAACGAGTCAATCACAAAAGAACAAATACCACATATTCTCTCACATGAGGAAGCCAACATGGAAAGTAACTCCAACAGTCCAATCTATACTGTTTTTTTGACTGTCTGTTTGCTTTTTTGGTTGTATCCCATGTGTTTTGATGTTTTTATTTCAGTTTGGTTGCTTCCAAATAATCTCTTTTCTCTAGTAGAATTCATCACGTGCTCATGAAGTATACAATGGCATCATTTTTCCCAAGAGAATTCTGTGTTTCCTTTTTGTCACGCATGTGTTGGTTACTCAGTAATGCATTATTTTTCAGGGTGCTATGATTTGTTGTTGATGTTGTTGCGTTGTTGTTGTGGCTGTTATAAAATTATGTCAATCCGAAAAACAGTAATATTATTTCAACCCCAAACAGCCTGTAAGTCATGTAATAAGATACTGTGAAGTAGCCAATGAACCAACAATCGATATGAGTCAGATTGCTCATGATCCACATCAAAGAATTGTAAAACCTAATATACTTTTGGGCCTGGCGCGGTGGCGCAGTGGTTAAAGTCCTTGTCTTGCACTGGGATCCCATATGGGCACCGGTTCTAATCCCAGCGGCCCCACTTCCATTCCAGCTCCCTAACTGTGGCCCGGGAAAGCAGTCGAGGATGGCCCAAAGCTTTGGGACCCTGCACCCACGTGGGAGACCCGGAAGAGGCTCCTGGCTTCGGATCGGCATAGCATCGGCCGTTGTGGGCACTTGGGGAGTGAATCATCGGACGGAAGATCTTCCTCTCTGTCCCTCCTCTCTGTATATCTGCCTTTCCAATAAAAATTTAAAAATAATATTAAAAAAAACCTAATATACTTTTAAGACCCTATGCTACTCAGAAATGGGGAGGGAGAGCAGAGAAATCTTCCATCTCCTTAGAATGTGTGAGCAAGACGTGAAGTATAACTTATCAGGAACATAACAGGTAACTTATGGACAACAGACTCGAATCAGCATTAGACAATAGTAAAACTACAAAGATATACAGGTGGAATCAAGAGCGATCCTGACAATCTCTTAACAGGAGGTCATATGCACAAAGTAGCGGGGGATCCCAGGGTGGAGCAGGTAGACAGGAGGAGGCTTGTATCCCAACCGTGGGGACTCCTGGATCCTCACCAAGAACTATCAATATGGGCACCAAGAACTACATCCCAACTGCCAAGGAGACCACAGGGAACTGGAATGCCTTCGGAGGCCAAGAACTCTGAGGTTATCCACCCCCGTTTGGATCTACCACAAGGGATGGAAGAAGCTCAAACCCTTCCTTGCAGGATCCAAGATCATCGGAACAGTAAGCTTCCTTCAAGACTAGGGAGAGAGCTTTCTCTGGTCCTCACTTAGTTCCAACTTTGGATCCCCACCCTAACTTGCAATGACCATCAGGGTTGCTCCAGAGCCCCACACTCCAAAACACACACACGCACGCACACACACAAATTGGAATAGATAGACAGAGAAAAACAAGGAAAGCTTGGAACCAGACAGGAAACAGTCAGCATGGACTCACACATGCCTTACCAGGTAGGACACAAAGATTAGTTACTCCTCACTAAGGTAATGAAGATTTCTCTGCACACCCCTCCTAAAACTGTTCTGCACTTCAACTGTTGACATATGCCTTGTTAGACTTATAAGCCAGTTTAGACTATCCCAAAATCTGCCAAGTTCAGCAAAACTAAGCTTCAACACTATAAACTGCTGAATGCTAAAATGAAAATAGTCATGAGACAGCTGAGTAGTACCCTATAGCCATTTCAAGGTGTATAGCAGCCAGTTATGTGTATAAACTAAAGTTGAAATATCAATGAAGTAGTCAGAGGATACGGTTAAGAACTTGCATTTTTTAACATATTTGTTACTCAATACCATGTCAATTAATTCCATAATGCTATAAATTGATGTTGATGTCATGTTGTGGCTTTTAATTGATCGGGATGATATTCTGCCAGCTCTGCTTTCAGACCAGAGATGGTCTCCCCAAGAAACCGTTGAATTTATCTGGACGATAAGATGCTGGACTCTATGCTTCCAATGAAAGAATCTTGACTGAATTTGAACTGTAATACTGCAACAAGGTAGAGGAATCCACCATGGGGGGAGGGTATGGGGAGAGGTTGGGGGAATCCCAGAGCCTTTGAGACAGTGTCACATAATGCAATGTAATCAAAAAGAAAAAGAAAAAAAAGACTGGCCAGCAACCAAGGAAAGGAGTTCAGAGCCTTCCACTGAGGACCACGGCAGAAGGAAATAAAACACACCCCTCCCCCTACTCTTTGTGCCTTGGCATAGTTCCAACACAGCTTCTTGGCATTACAACTTAATAATAAGACAACCAGAAAAGCAAATCACTACCAGCTAATGTAACAAACTCAGCAGAGTGCATGAGTTAGGAATGAGAAATACGCAGCCCCCGAGACAAGGGAAACTACATGGGGAGTAAGGACACACACGTGCTGTTGCATGGTGACCGACTCCCCGACTCCCCTACTCCACCACCTGTCCCACCTGGTAATGCTCACAAAGCTGTACCTGTCATGTACCACCGACCAACCTCTTATGGGTAGTAACCTGGAACCATTCCGGAGAAAAGCCCATGGTATGTGTTCAGGAGACACTTTCTGAATAAATAGCAAATGAATCCCAAATCACATAAGGTAAATCTCTCATAGCAGAAAGGAACTTCTAATTTTGAAAAAAGATCAGGGTTTCTAGAAAAAAGTCATTTTCCTTTCATGATTCCTCACATCTTATCAGTACTGTTTAGTTTTTGTGACCAATTGGTTAATTTACATTTTAAAATTCACTTTTAAGGAAACAGCTCTATGAAGTTAAGATTCTGGGCCTGGCGGTGTGGTGGTCTAGCAGCTAAAGTCCTCGCCTTGACCATGCCAGGATCCCTTATGGGCGCCGGTTCTAATCCTGGCAGCTCCACTTCCCATCCAGCTCTCTGCTTGTGGCCTGGGAAAGCAGTCGAGGGATGGCCCTACACCTATGTGGGAGACCTGGAGGAGGTTCCTGGCTCCAGGCTCCAGATTGGCACAGCACCGGCCGTTGCACTCACTTGGGGAGTGAATCATCGGACAGAGGATCTTCCTTTGTCTCTCCTCCTCTGTGAATCTGACTTTGTAATACAAATAAATAAATCTTTTAAAAAAATAGATTCTAAAACCATACAAATACATGTAACAGTTTGTATAGAAGCCAAATTTTTGCTTTTTTTATTTGTTTTTTGCCTGCCCATGGTCTGGAAGTCTGCAATTTCTTTTTTATTTTTTTTCTTTTATTTTCGAAGTCTGCAATTTCCATTCAGTACCTCACTTGTAGACTTAACTGTCCGTAAATAGGAGCTTCTCCCTCTGCTAAAATTATCTACTTTAAAAAATTATTTTTGTTGGAAAGACAGATTGATAGATAGAAGGAGAAACCGAGAAAGCTCTTCTATCTGCTGCTTCACTTCATGCCCCAGCTGCCCTACTTCCCTTTCAGATCCCCCTTTATGACCTAGAAAAGCAGCAGAGGATGGCCCAAAGCGTTTAGCTCCAATACCTGCATGGAAGACCCAGCAGAGGCTCCTGGCTTCAGACTGGATCGGCTCAGCTCTACCCGCTGTGGCCATTTGAGGAGTGAACCAGTAAATGAAGGATCTTTATTTCTCCTTCTCCCTGTAAATCTGACTTTCCAATAAACTAAATAAATGAAACGTTTTTAAAAAATTACTTTCTTTGCAAGATAAACAAGTCAGGCTACCCAGGGCTGACAGGTAGCCTGACCACTGACTCCCAGGGCAGCCACAGATCCTCCCTGCCTGTCTCCAGGAAACAACCATCAGGGACAGGGTACTGGTCTTCAGGAACCGAGGTATAGAATCAAAACCATAATATCAGCAACTAAACAGGGAGACAGCAGTAAGCAGAGCGAGTGGTTCACTGACACAGTAGTCTCGCCTTTCTCAGTCACACACCGCTGTCTTGTCAGCTTACCTCAGCTTACAGTCAGCGCACGTGGTCACCACCCTGCTACCAGTGAGAGGTGAGAAGTAGGCAGAAGCAATGCTCTTGGGATGCTCCATCACAGCCACCAAAGGCCGACTTTTGGGCTTCAGGTTCCTTGCATCGTAAATATGAACATCGCTGCAATGGGAAGAAAATTGCAAGTGTTGCTACAAGACATGCAGTCTGCAGAGCAGAGCTGAACAGAAATTAGACACTCAGATACTTGCTATATGTAAGACAGTTCAGTACAGAATTCTCCAACCTGCACAAATTTTACAAACTGGTATAGATAAAACATGAGAAAAGTCCAAAACTATGGCAGCTACAGGAACCCTGTGAGTGTAGAGACTAAATGGTTTTCTAGTTTTGCCACAAAGACTAGGTACACAGGCCAATACATGACAGATCACATATAACATTCTTCCAATTAGTACAATTTAAGCTTCTTCTCACAAGACCTCAATACACGTAACATCAAGGAAAAAAATGTACATTTCTTTCAATACATTCCTATTAAATCCAAAATGATTTCTCAGAAAAAACCACTTGTCATTAATATTGTAGTATAGCACATTAAGCTGCCATTTGCACTGCCTACAACCTATATCAGAATGTAGGTTTGAGTCCACTTCCAGCTCAGGGCCAATGCATCTGGGAGCGCAGCAGAGGACGACCTGACTGCCTGGGAGTTACCATCCACATGGAGTTCCTGGATCCTGGCTTAGGACGGTCCAGCCCAGCTGGGGAGTGAATCACCACAGGGAAGCTCTGTCACTCTGCCTTTCAAATACATAAATCTTTAAGAAAATATCTCACTTAAAGAAAGCATCAAACAATGTGGAAAATAAAATTATTTGTTCTCTGGAGTCCAATGCCTTTAACAATCAAAGTAAACTGTGATTTGTGAAACTTAAAGGTCCCAATGGGGTGGATGTTATAGTACAATAGGTTAACCCACTACCTGCAATGCCTGCAAATCACATCAGAATATAAATTTGCGTCTCAGCTGTTCTACTTCCCATTCAACTTCTGCCCAATGCACCTTGGGAAGCAACTGACGATGGCTCAGGTGTCTGTATCCTTGCCGGTCACGTGGCGAACCCAGACGGAGTTTCAGACTTGTGGCTTCAGCCAGGCCTTAAGCATGGTAGCTGCAGCCATCCAGTGAGTGAGCCAGTGGACAGAAAATCAGTCTCTCTGCCTTTCAAGTTGATGACATCAGTAAGCATTAGAGAGACTATACGAAAAAAGCATACCTCAAGCCTGCAGTGATGAAATACTGCCTTTGTACTGGGTGGACATGAACAGTTCTTATTTTTCTTGAAGAAGAATTGATGAGCTTCTCATAAGAAGTTCCAGGTGTCCGCCTGTCCACCAGGGACACGCTTCCATCCCAGTGCCCAACTAGTAAAGTGCAGCCATCTTCTGCCAAGAAGTCAAAGGAGGAAAAGCCGCTGCTCTCATTTCTATACACCTAAGGAAACAGAAAACCATCAGCTTACATAACACTTCCTTTTAAAGAAAGACAACGCGCAAATTCTTGGATAAAAGTGTTAGAACAATTTACTGGAATAATCTCACATTTGCCTTCCCGCAGCCACCTGAGCACCAGCCGAAAGGGAAACAAAGACCCTGCTCAGCTGCATTTCACCTACAAATGATCCAGCTACCTGTGCCAGGGCTATAAGTCAAACCTCCTCCCCACAATAAACTTCAACTCCAGATTTACCCCACAAAACTTACCAGAAAATAAACTGACTATAAATTCCATCTAACTGAAATTGTATCTTTTCCAACAGAGCCCAACTATTTTTTGTAGCAGAGTGCTACACATTTTTGACAGTTAATCAAGCTACATTTACCAAGAGATTTAATACACTCTTTGAGCTAACAATTTCGCTCAGAGCAATAAGAAACAACAAAGAGATCTGGTTAAATCTGTGATTATTAATCTCTACTTTGAAATACTATACAACATTAAAAAGAAGGAAGTTCACAGGGCCAGAACTGTGGCATAGTAGGTTAAGCCTCACCACTGGTGTCAGCAGCCCATACAGGCACCAACCAGTTTAAGGCCTGGCTGCTCCATTTCCGATCCAACTCCCTGCTAATGTAGCTGGGAGGGTAGCAGAGGACAGCCCAGGTCCTTGGAGTCCTGCACCCATGTGGGAGACCTGGAGGAAGCTCCAGGCTTCTGGCTTTGGACAATCCAGCTCCGGCCTGACCATTGTGGCCTTTTGGGGAGAGAGATAGAAAGATGGAAGATTTCTCTTTGTTTCTCCTTTTCTCTCTGTAAATCTGCCTTTCATATAAAAACTAAATATTTTAAAAATAAAAAGGAAGTTGTTTTATAACACCAAATGTCACAATATGCTACTCATCAAAAAACACAAGCTTAAAAGTACTGTGTAAGTATCAGTCCATTTAAATTTTTTTTAAAAAGTATCAGTCCATCAGTGTAAAAAAGGAGAGGAAAAAACCACATCTACAAGTATATGTGGAAATGGATGTGTTCTTCTTGGATGCAAACTCCAGACACACAACAATGGTTACTTCCGCAGGATGAAAATGGCAGGAGGAAAAATTTTCTTACCAACTCCTATTTACTATAAATATTTTATGAGTATATTTTATTATAACTTCTAATCACATACAATCTATAATGCTATCACTTTGGGCTTAGGGCTTATACACGTTAGGAACAAAAAACAAATATTTGTACCAAGTAAGAGAGAATGACAATGAATTGCTACAGACTTTTAATTTTAATAACAAAAATACTAAAGGCTGGTTAATAATTAATATACCAAAGGCATAATAACTCTCACAAATCCAAAGAAGTCCAACATTTATAAATGAAAATTAAATTAGTATATTACATCAAAAAGGTCACAAATGGGAGTTTGGTATTCAAATTCCAGCACAAATTCTAGGTATACCTTCTATGTTCTTCAACAAGCTAGAAAATCTTTTTGCCTCAATTTTTCATCTGTTAAATAACTATTTCATAGTGTCCATAAGGCTTAATAATGCAAAGTACATTCAAGATAGTGCCTAGCATAATACCATAAACATTACTGACACAACAAAATGAATGAATTGCAAAAATAATATGCTAGTTGTGACAGTTGTGACACAAGGAGTTGACCCCTGTCATACTGGAGTGCCACTTAAGAGCCCCACCTACTCTACTTCTGATACAGCTCCCTGCCAATAAGCCTGGGAAAGCAGCAGCAGATGGACCCAGGGCCCGGGGTCCCCCAACCATGGAGTTCCAGGACCCAGCCCCGCCTTCACAGACTGACCAGTAGATGGAAGCACTCCTGACTCACTCTCACTTATGAGCTCGGTCTCTGCACTCCAATCCCACCCTCTCCTGACTCTTTCCCTGTAAATAACTCATACTTGAATATTTTGGCTTCAAGGCACAGATGGCCACAGTGTCCAAGAGTGGGGTGGAAGGCAGGATGGCACAGTCACACAGGCAGTGGGCACAGGCGCTGGCATCATGCCGGGCAGCGTCAGTGCCTGGTTTACAGCCTGGTGGATTCCCCAGAGGTGCGAATGCAGGGCAGCTGCAGCCAGTGAAGCTCACAGCTGCCCTGCATTCGCACCTCTGGGCAGACAGAGGCCAGAGGCCGAGCACACACACCACTCAGTGTGCCCACCCAGATGGAAGGCCTAATCACCCATGAGCTGCCAGCTCCAGATACAGAACTCTCCCAAGAAGTGGTCAGGAAGGAACCTGCAGAGCATGGAACCATCCAAGCTGTCTGCTGGACCACTGAAGACTCTTACCTCGTGAGTTTTAAGGTCACACAGTAGCAATACTTCTTATCAGATTTGAACTGAAAGCACCGAGTTCTAATGTCCCTAGACTATAACATTTTTTTCCAACATGACTTGCAAAAGTCATTCATGTGACATTTCATGAAGTATCTAGATTATGTAGCATCTTAGGTCACACATAAATATATTAACTTTGGGGACTGCTGCTGCAATATAGCAAACAAAGGTACAATCTTCAGTGCCAGCATCCCACATGCTCCTTTAGGTACTAGCTGCCCTGCTTCCAACCTAGCTCCCTGCTCATGGCCTAGGAAAACAATAGAGGATGGCCCAAGTGCTTGGGCTCCTGTCACCCACATGGGAGACCAGGAAGAAGCTCCTGGCTTTGGACTTACCCAGTTCCAGCAGCTGCAACCACCAGAGGAGTGAACCAGCAAATAGAGGACCTTTTTCTGTCTCTAACTTTGCCTTTCAAACAAATTTTAATGAACAAGAAGGTGCAGTGGCATATCAAGCTAATCCTGGGTCTGTGGCACTGGCAACCCATTTGGGTGCCAGTCTGAGTCCTGGCTGCTCCACTTCCCATCCAGCTCCCTGCTTGTGGTCTGGGAAAGCAGTGGAAGATGGTGTAAGGCCATTGGACCCTGCACCTGTGTGGGAGACCTGGAAGAAGCTCCTGGATCCCAGCTTCAGACAGGCCCAGCTGTGGTGGCTGCAGTCATTTGAGGAGCAAACCAGTGGATAGATCTGTCTCTTTAACTCTTTCAAGCAAAATAAATGAATCTTTTAAAATAAATAATTAAACAAACACCTTAACACCTACCTCTTCAAAAACAGCTCTGGAAAAATCACCACAGCGTAATGTGCCATCGTAGCTCAGTGACAGGAGGTGGGCTGGGTTAGCAGGTGAGAAGTACAGACAGCTAACTGGCTGGCTATGGGGATGAAAAAGATAAACCCCATCTTCTTTAGGGCACCGAGACTGGAAGGAAATTAGAGGAGAAATAAAAACCAGTGAAAATTAGCAACATTTACTGTATTATATCATTAAAGAACTTGATTCTGAATTATATTTAATCCTTTCTTAACCCATAATTATAATTATACTAACATTTCCATGCAGAAGGAAAGCAGTAGAAATCACTTTTTGCTAATTTTCTTTTTTAAGAAAATTCATTTTGTTTTGTTCATTTATCAGATATATGCAGAGGAAAGAGAAGAAGATCTTCCATCTGTTGGCTCACTCCCCAAGTGGCCGCAATGGCCAGAGCTAAACCGATCCGAAGCCAGGAGCTAGGAGCCTCTTCCGGGTCTCACACATGGGTGCAGAGTCCCAGGGCTTTGGGTTGTCCTTGTCTGCTTTCCCAGGCCACAAGCAGGGAGCTGGATGGGAAGCAGGACCGCCGTGATTAGAACCAGAGCACATATGGGATCTGGGTGTGTGCAAAGCAAGGACTTTAGCTGCTTGACTACCATCCAGGCCCACTTTCTTCCAATTTTCAATCCAACAATAACAAGTCACATTTAATTTTAACAATGGCCATGTTTTTGCAAACAGCAAACTGGACTCTCTAAATTACTGTTCACATAATTTTGGTTCGTGAAATCTTCAGGAAATGAGAAATCTACTCTTTATTCTAGACACAGTGCTAACTCATCACTATCAAAACCAACATGGCTGTCATTTCCTAAGATTTCTGCGGTCAGCATTGTGCTACATCATATTAATCCACCCTGTGACACCAGCATCTCCATATGAACCCCAGTTCGAGTCCTGTCTGCTTCACTTCCAATCCAGCTCCCTGTACCTGGAAAGCCATTAGAGTTGTGCAAGTAGTTACATGTTATCACCAAAATGACAGCCTGGACCAAGTTCCTAGCTCTTGACTCCTGTCTGGCCCTTGTAGTCATTTAGGGACCAGAAGGCTAGGATTTTTTTTTTCTTTATTTTTGAAAATCTTTACATAGTTCACTGGGGGCACAAAGGGTTAGGGGCTACAGGAAAGTGGGTAAGACTATTGTTTCCACATTATTGCTTTTTTTTTTTCTTTCTGTATCTGGGGTAAAGGGGGAGGTAAAGGGAGAAGTCCCACCCAGCCTCCCACCCCTCCCAGGTCCCTGATGTGGGGCATGCTCCGAAGGTTCTGCTGAAGTGGTTTTGATATTTCAACAGTTACAAATTACTGCCAATCTCACCATTCCTAGCACAATGAAATCACTGTAGAATCCACCAGTTGACACAATCCACTTTAAAGTCTCCGTTTGCCCAAATTTTCACTGTCAACACATGGCTGGGGTAGTTCATTGAATTGTTCTGTCCTGCATCCTCTGTTGTGGTACCAGGTGTCCTCTGCAGGTTCCTATGGCCTGCCACATCCTCCATGTACACCTGGATATGTTGTGCATTGCTTGTCTGAGCCTCTGAGGTAGCTCAGGTTTGACACTTGCACTCCATGGCAGACCATGGAACCTGCACTTCTCTTCATGGTTGGGGTTCTGAGTCCAGCATTTAGATTGGAAAGATCCCCAAAGAAACTTCGTCTGAAGTGCTTCCAGACAAGATTCTTGTGTGTGCTTGCTAGTACAGGGTCTGGCACAGTCTATTGCCCCAATCAGCTTATTCACATGCTGGTCGTTGCAACTGCTGGGTTGGTTCTGTTTCCAGCCCTGTCTTCCACATGAACCGATGGGTGTTGCAGTCCAGCCTGGTTCTCTGCCCAGCACACACTCGGCCCTCATACAAACCAGTGGGAGCTGCAGCCTAGTCGCGGCGACTCCCAATAACCACCACCAGCCCTGCCCTCTGCCCTGGTTCCCACACTCGCCAGTATGTACCACAGACTTGTTCAGTTTATTCTGCATCCCATTCAGTTCTTCTACATGTCAATGAGCATTGAAACCCAGTTCAACCCAACCAGCCGCACTATCCAGCCCACATACATGCTGGTGGGTACCATTCTGTCCAGCCAGGTCTGCCCCAGCCCTGGTTTTCATGCTCTCCAGTACAAGTGGTAACCCAATAGGAAGGTGCCCACTATTTCCCTCTTGGGCCCACTCCCAGATCATGCCCACTACAGGTAGTTTTGCAGCTTAGCTTGACAGAATTAGCCCCAGTGCCAGCATCTGCCATCTGATGCTGCGGCAAAGCCCATCCAACCCTCACCCATTCTGGATTATGATTGCACCAGTAGAGACAGTCAACCAAGCCTGGCTCTTCCCTATCTTGCTCACAAGAGACCCACAAATGTTGTAGCCCTGCCTGGTGTGGTCTGCCCTCATCCCAACTCATGATCTCCAGCAGGTGAGGTATTCCAGCAGGGGGGGCCCTCCACATCCCCCCTACCATCTTTACCCCCTCCCTCCCTGGTTCCTACATGTGCTAGTTGGGTGCTTCAGCCCAGCCTGACATGGCCCACCTCACCTCGGCAATTGCCAGTGGGTGTTGTAGCCTGGCCCAGCCCGGCCCACCCCCAATTCCAGCTTGAGAGGGTTACAGTCTAGCCCAGCCCAGCAGCATATGCATACCAAACCCAGCTGTAATATACACTGGTATGCGTTGCGACCATACCTGGCTCGACCCGCACTCTGTTCTGGTGCTCGGATTTGCCAGTGGGTGATGTGAACTGATTCAGCCTGGTCTGCCCCCTACCCATGCCAATTGTATGCCACTAGGTAGCTTTCCTGGTCTGGGCTGCTCCTCATCATGTTTCCTGCACTCACCTGCCGGGTCTGTGTCCTGCCAGAGGAGTTGCCCAGGCCCCTCCATCAGAACCTCTCCCAATGCCAGATCTCATGCATATCAGCGAGTCCATGAGCCAGTCCTACTTAGGCCACCTCCTGTCCTAGTAGGAACAGTGGCCTTTCCTGACTGGCCTTCACCCATTCTGGTTCTTATTGTTGGATGTTTCAGCCCAGCCAAGGCTCATCCATACCCAGACACTGCTCACACATGGCATAGTAGGGCAGAGACCTAGCCTAGTCCATCCTACATCTACCCTGGTCCTCCAGAGCACCAGATGGTGCTGGAGTCCAGCCCAGCGTGGTGCACCCAGCCCCAGTCCACACCTGTGCCAAGGAACACTGCAGCCATATCTAGACTAGAACACAGCCCCCACACTCACCAGTGGGAACCCCAACCCAGCTAGGGTGTCCTCTTAGCTCCCTAACTGGCCTGTTTCCAGCCATAGATTACGCACATGCCAGTGATTGCTCTGATCCAGCTTGGCATGGCCCCTCACCTGCCTTGGCCTTTGCCTGGGATGCTGTGGTCTGGTATCCCCGGCTCATGCAGATCAGTTAGTGTAAGAGTCAAGCTCGGAATGACTTGTGCTCCATCCTGATTTCTATTTTTACTTGTGAGCTAAAGTTTGCTCCGCCCTGCCTAGTGGGCTAAGATTTTACTCTCTCCCTCTGTATAATTTTTGACTTGTTTTTGAAAAAGTTACACCAAGAGGAAGAGAGAAGAGAGCTCTTTTAATTGCTGTTTCGCTCCCCAGATGGTCTCAATGGCCAATACAGGGCCAGGACAAAGAAAAGAGCCAGGAATCTCACCCAAGTCTCACGTGGATTAACAGCTCAAACACTTGGGTCATCTTACACTATTTTTTCTCAGGACTTGGAATGGAAACAGAGCCTTTTAAATAAAATTAAAATGAACTTTTTTAAAAATATGTTGTCCTGTAAATACTCCATGAAATGCATGCACTTGAATTTTCATATTAATGTGATTATTTTTAAGGATGATCCTTTCTACACGGCATCACTTTTCAGATTTCGGTGATTATTTTCCTAGGCCCTGTGGCACATCATGAACCAAAGCAACTATTGCCCCCAAATCTGACTCCACTCAGATATAGTCATACATTCCTTTTCCTTTTATTTTCTTAGTTTTTAAATAGTGGTTTATTTGAAAGGCAGAATTAAGAGAGGAAAAGAGAGAGCGAGAGAACCATCTTCAAACCACTGATTCATTCCTCAAATGGCCACAATAGCCAGGGCCAGGCAAGAACTAAACCAGAAACTCCATCAGATCTCTTATGTGGGCAGAAAGCCCCAAGCACCTGCAGCATCTTCTGATGCTTTCCCAGGGACGTTAGCTGTGAGCTACATTGCAAGGGAGAAGCCAGGACTTGAACTGATGCATGTACAGGACTTCTGCATTCTTAGTAGTAGCAACAGCTCAAACTGATGGGCCACGACACTGGGAACCTCCACATTTTTTTTTAAAAGATTAATTTTATGGGGCCCGGCGCGGTGGCGCAAGTGGTTAAAGGTCCTCGCCTTGCACGCCCGGGATCCCATATGGGCGCCGGTTCTAATCCCGGCAGCCCCGCTTCCCTTCCAGCTCCCTGCCTGTGGCCTGGGAAAGCAGTCGAGGACAGCCCAAAGCTTTGGGAACCTGCACCCGCGTGGGAGACCCGGAAGAGGCTCCTGGCTTCGGATCGGCATAGTATCGACCCGTTGCGCTCACTTGGGGAGTGAATCATCGGATGGAAGATCTTCCTCTCTGTCTCTCCTCTCTGTATATCCGCCTTTCCAATGAAAAAATAATAAAAATAAAATCTTTAAAAAAATAAAAAAAAAAGATTAATTTTATGTTTTTTTTATTGGAAAGGCGGATATACAGAGAGGAGAGACAGAGAGGAAGATCTTCCGTCCGATGATTCAGTCCCCAAGTGAGCGCAATGGCCGGTGCTACGCCGATCCAAAGCCAGGAGCCTCTTCTGGGACTCCCACACGGGCGCAGGGTCCCAAAGCTTTGGGCCGTCCTCGACTGCTTTCTCGGGCCACAGGCAGGGAGCTGGAAGGGAAGCGGGGCTGCCGGGATAGAACCGGCACCCATATGGGATCCCGGGCGTGCAAGGCGAGGACCTTAACCACTGTGCCACTGCACAGGGCCCGATCCCCCACTTTTTAAATAGTAAAGCAAGGACAAGGGGTATAGACCTTTGCCTGTGACGCTGGCATCCCACAGGGCACCAG